CTTCAGCTTCTAAAAAAAACACACCACCTTGCACTTTGACATCTGGTTGTCAGCAAATGTTAATACGCCAATCATTCAATCCATCACCTTTCATCATTTTGAAATTATTTGCTTTTTAACAGTTTGTCATGTGCCTACTGACAATGCTAGGAAAGAAAATGTAGATAATATAGCACAGCTAAAAAAAAAAGTAAGTTAAAGGCAATATCAATATGTCTGTCATCTGCCTGACTTCAACATGTTATGGCAAAGCAGTAGTAGTGTATGAGAGACTCATATTTTGTGATTCTGAATGCTTTTACTTAACCATTTAGCTTTGGTTTCGTTCATGGTGTTTTTGTTCAGGCTCATTAATTGCTCCCAGATTCACATCATAAAGTTGAGATGTTTGATGCTGCGTGTTGCAGCTCTAACTGGGTTATAGTTATGTACACTTTTTATGGAAGTGGAGAACTTGAGGGAAAAACTGTCATGTTTTCATTAACGGTGGCGCACAAGAGAGAAATGATACTTGTCACTGAATCCACTGTTGGGTTTTGGGGTTGTGTTTTTTTGTGGGGGGTTTTTTTGACATCTTTGCGTGAGATCCTTGAATATTTATCACTGAGGCATTAAGGTAAAAATAACAGCCAAGTGGAACGCCACCAATCACTGTCTCATGCATCACCGGCACTTCTCACTTTCAGCGACTCCGAGGCTCCCCGTTCTGCCAGCTCGTCACTTTAAAATATTTTTAAAGCAGCTGTCCTATGTAGACGCAGCCTGCAGAGGAGCTCCTAAACCATGCAGTTGGGGTTATTTGAGCTCTCACAGTGGGTGTTCCTGGTGCCAAGTGTTGCTGTTTGTGTCTGTACATGAATGAAAGCCTTCACCCATTGACCTCCAGGAGAGCCAGCCCTCTGTGTCACCGCTGTTCATCGTCACCAGGCGGAGGCATGTTTAAAGAGCGCTTCAGAGATAACAATGCTGTGTGTGATGGGCTGCTGGAAACGCACAATCATGATAACAGGATTTTCACTGATAACATCTCCTTTTATGCTTCTGACCTGACCAAAATAAAAGACTTTTCCTCTTTCTTTCATCTTGCATGCTTAAAACATCACTTTCTACAACTGGCTTGTTTTTATTTAGACAAAAGGAAGTATTGTTATTGCATGCTCGCATTCTGCTCTTTTCTGAGTGTTGAAGCATCAAGATTCATCGTAATCTCTGCATTTTTGTGATGGCAGACAGAGCTGACAAAGGGAGGGAAAAGACGTAGGTTGCTGATGAGCTCATTACGATGAGTTCTGGCTGTCAGGGCAACTTAAACGTATCTTCAACCTGACAGCCCAACAGCCACACCGAGCCTAATGGGGTCGACAGTGCAGCAAGCCGAAGAAGAATATCCCTGTGTGCAGATATTCCTGTCTCCATCCTTAACCCCAGTTCTGTCTCATCCAAAGTCTTCCCAGAAACTCTGATCAAAATCCAAACATAGATCGTTTTTCGTCTCTCTGCAGAAACTGTTTCCAGCTGGAGCTTTTTCTTGACAATTGCACAATGATTGTTGTCAGAGCCATGGGCAAATTTATTTGTCTAACAATAGATGTTGCAAAGAAAGTCTGTGTCTAATCATCACATGCCATGAAGATGTTGCTGATTTCCGGCTTCCACCTTTTCCAGTGTTGTGGGTTTTTGCTTTTCAGATGGTTTAAAATGAAATGTAACAAAGAAAAAACAAACTCAAGTGTAATTATTATAGAAAATTAACACAAAAAATTAAACAGGGCAATATTTCAACGTTATTCTTTTAAAAGGTTTTTAAAAAATATTTTTCTTAGTTGAGAGCGCAGCTACTGCATAGCAAGTTTGTTCCAGGTGCCTCTCCCTCCTGTTTGCCCGCTATCTGCGTTTGTTTGTTCTTTATCTTAAACTCTCCCTTTCAACTGGTCTGTCTTTGAAGAGAAGTTCAGATTCCTCAGCTTATCTCCCCTGAAGCGCCGCTCTCTGTAGATGGAGGCATTTTCTTTCCTTCTGCTCTCTGAAGGCTCTATAAAAGAAGAGCGAGACCTAATTCAGCTGTTAATTCAGTCCGACAGATAGAGCTTCGGTGAAGTTTATATGTCTGAGTGGCTTTTTGTAGTAAAGGAGGAAGTCCGGAATGGCTGCTGTGGTTTTGTTCTTTGTTTATATGATGATGTTCATACTGTTAACGCTTTGTTCATGCCTGTTGGTCAGGAATATAGGTCATGCTGCCATCTCTGCTTGAACAGAGAATAAACTTGGCAGGCTTTTTCAAATGTGAGAGCCAAACCCCCCTTCTTCCTCGAAGACTCACTTTCATGTCTGTCATCATGTAACATGTGACACCTTATCCCCCTGTGCTGAGACTTCTTCTGGAAGTCATTATTTCTGTCCTCTAAAATCAACTGGGGGCATCTGAGCTGCTGCATCGCCACCTGAATGCCATGCTGCTTGTGTTGGAAGCAGCGATGTTCTCCCAGGCTGCAGCTGTTGCCACAGCTTCTCCGTCTCTGCACATTTCTCGATGACTTGTTTAGGCTGATGTCGGATCATTAGGCTGTTTTCTCCGGCCCATATGCTGCTTTTCATCCCAGTTTTTTTTACACGGATGGGACAAATCCGCTTCCTCATGGGGAAATTGTTTAGCAGTGAAGAATATGTTCCAATCCTTGGTGCAATAAATCACACGGCGTCTCCGTTTAACATCACAATCCAGATGTTCTAAAGATGATTTATTACTCTTTATATTATATATTTTGCCACAAAGCCCAAACATTTTCAGAAAAAGTAACCAAACAGGCATTAAACCTCATGTTCACTGGTTTCCAGAAGTATTCATACCCCTTGGGCTTTTCCACATTTTGTTGCTTTACTTTGACAAACTTCTATGTATTTTATTGAGATTCCATGTGGTTGAGCAACGCAAAAGAAGGGGACATCGGGTTTTCATTCTCACCCCTTCACTCTGAAACCACTAAATAAAATTAACCTGATCAGTAAGTAGCCCACCTGTAGTTTAATCTCATTAACAACCTCTGGGGTTTTTTGGGGAACATTAGTGAACAAATAGCATTATGAAGACCGAGGAGCACTGACTGAATACAAGTGAAGGTTTCAATATTTATATCCACTTCAAAATTAGCTTCCCGTGTTTTTCTAAAGAAATCCCAATAAAATGCATTCATTTTTGGACTGTAGTGTTAAAAATGGAAAAGGTGAATATTTTTCCAATGTATTTCCATAGAACCACATTGGTTCTATTTCCGTAGATGTATTTTATGCATCTAGTGATATCGTTTGCAGTTTATGCTTATAACAAAGGAAATAAAACCTGTTTTCTTTTTTCCCCCGGTGGCTTTCAGTAGTTTTTAATTTTCTTCTATTATAAGAAAATAAGTCCCTGTGAGGCTGTTACTGTGGTAGTTTTGTGAACAGACATTATTTTCGTGCAGTTGTCAGTGCTATCCTGCAGAAGAGGCGTCGATGCTTCGTTCTTGTCCCTGCAGTCTGAGCCATAGTCCGTTCTATAAAAGATGCCTTGTTTGACCGGGATTTCTCTTCAGCTCTGCCACACCTGTCAGATCCAGCCACCTGCAGCTGAGACAAAGGTGGACTTGAATTAATAAGTGCAGTGGGCTTGGAGTGGTGGGATATAAAGGGTCAAACACCGGCTCATCTTCAACAGCCTCTTTTATGTAGCATTATTAAAAGATTTGCTTCACTCCCTTAAGAGACTCGTAACACCTGAGACACACACACACACACACTTCACCAGGCAGGTGAAGGTATGCTTAATCGACTTTACTGATGGACCGTTCCTTCTGATAACAAGCTTTGACATCTGGTATGATAACATTGTGTTGCGGGAGGCAGGCGACCTGCATGAAGGTGGTTAGCAGTTCCCTGTGGCAGTCGCTCAAACGTGAAGGGACTTCACAGATTAAATGTCATTTTTCTAGCTTAAATCCACAAATACTTGGCAGATTTATAACTGCCAGTTTTATTAGTTCAAGAACTAAATATACCTTAATATGCATTACTATACACAAAAGAAACTGTCTTGCCACAACACAGAAGCCAGTATCCACAGTCTTCCTTATTTCTGCTTGAAAGCAAATTAGCATTAGTGAATAGTGCTCTAAATTGCGTTTTCAAACACCAGGTAATGGCTTCCCAAACTGCTTTTTGCCCCAAAATATCTTAGACATTCTCTAGAAAAAATGTAATTTTCCATGAGAAATTTGGATTTCTTTCCATAGGAAAAATAGGCAGGTGCTCGGCTGGAGACTGTAGTGCCGAAGAGGGGTTTTGGATAAATAGGCGGAGCTTCGTATTAGCAGTCATCAAGGCCCCCTCAAGTGGCTACCATATGAGATTAAAGGATTCATAAACATGCATAAAAAAATTAAAGCAATACTCCAGGTTGTATTTGATTTGGGAATAACATCATGAAATCATATAAACCTGAAAAAAGTTTTTTTTACATAATCTTCTCTAAGATTAGCTTTTTGTTATTTTATGCAAATCAAAAATGCCCCTGGTTCATCTGTTTTCAACAAAGAGAACAAAAATTATCATTTTCTCCATTTAGATGTGGCCAGCAGGAATAAATGAAGCTGAACTTGATCGTGTTTACAGAAACATGATGTAAAAATAAAAGCTTTATGGGTACAAGAAAATATAGGGTGTTTTTTTTTTTTTTTTTTTTTTTCATCTTTTAAAGTAGCCTGATCTGATGCGACGTGCAACAAACTTGCACCGAGCCGTCACTAATGGGGGTGGGGGAAATCTCTAAGCTGGGTCTGATCTTTTAACAGCATAATAATTTACCCTGAGTCATTATTGTCTCAACATCACATTCTTCCACATGGCTAAGTGGTTGCTGTGGCATACTCTTAATGAATGGAAAAAAGCTATAAAATGTTAACAGCAGCCCAGTCGTAATCCTCTTGTCATTTACTTTCCCCCTTTCTCTCACTCTTTCTTTTTTCCAGTTCTGTCCATTCAGGCCGTTTCAATCCAGTTCACCAAGCAGCCCATGTCCCAGGATGCTTTGCATGGCCGCAGCGCCATGATGCGCTGTGAAGTCAGCGATCCGACCAACATCACATACAGCTGGTATCAGGGCAACAACCGCTTGACAGACACAGAGCGGCGCTTTCAAGAAGGGGGGAACCTGAAGTTCACGGCGGTGGATCGGCAGCTGGACGCCGGCAACTTTTCCTGCCAAGTGCAGAACCACGCCACCGGAATGATGCAACTTTCCACTAAGGCCTCCTTTAATATCAAATGTGAGTGTTCACCTTTAACGGCTTATCAACCTCGCTTACAAAAATGACATGTGAAATGTTTTGTGTGAAAATTTACTGACTGATAGAGCTTCATATTGTCTCACAGAGTATTCACATCTTTTTTCCACATTTTGTCAGATCTGTACTCTTAAAGTACAGTAGTAAGTCTGTACTTTGACTAGGCAATTTTAACAAATAGACATCCTTTGATCAACTGAAACTCTGACTGTGATTTTTTTCGGTTATTGTCCTACTGGGAAATGATTCTTTGCCCAATTTAGCTCCATCCAGCTTCCCTAACAAATATTGCAATTTTGGTCCACAATCAAACAGAGCGGAGCATCAGGTGTGAAAACGCCCTGAAATAACACCACAAACTTACGCTGCATCACAATCATGGTAACAATGCTGAACAAATACTACACGGCTGTCCCCTTCCAGAAAGACAAATGGCAACAAGATATATAAAAAAAACATCATTTGATAATATCCATTCACTGTTAACTGATGCAGATGTATTGTTTTCACATTTATGCACCATTTTTTTGGTTGTAATGTGACAAAATGTGAAGAACACAAAGAGATATGAAAACGTTTGCAGCACTATTTAATGACACCAAGGCCAAGTGTAGAGTTCCTGGTTAAAAACCTGAACAAAAGTCGGCATATTGGGTGACGGGCTTCATGAGCTAGAGGAATGTTTCCACCTTGTTGCCTTGTTCTTTGTGGCTTCTTCTTTCTACTGGAAACTGGATATGTGCGCCACCAAGCATGTGTTTCTTGTTGCTTGCATTTTCCTCCCTGTTGTGTAACACCGTTTTTTCCCATATATCCCTCAAAAGGCTTTTGTCGAGAACTTGCTGGCGGGTGTAATTTACCTCCTGGCTATATAATTATTTAGATTTAGTTCATTACTGCCCTCTTTGCGCTGGCTTTTTTTACCCAGCAGCTTTGTAAACTTTTTGTGCCTTTGGCACGCCAGCTTCTTAATTTAGTTTAACCTCATAACTGAACATGAGTGGGTCTCCTTGTTTCAGAAGATGCCTGGGGAATTCAACCAAGCTCTGTGTGGGATAAATAACACAGAACCCTCAGGTACCAGTTGTTGCTGTTGCTGAAAAGCCTTTTGTGCATCTTAGCCTTTGCAAAGATAGCAGCGGAGGGGACAAAAAGGGAAAAAAAAAAAAAAAAAAGGAAAACCAGATGAAAAATGTCTCCATCTGGAACATGTTCTTCTCTTTGGCTACATTGAGATGGTTTCAGGAGGTTTTTCTTTGCAGTGATGATACTTGTTCAAAGGCTGATTACAGGAACAGATGCGAGTTCTGACCTCCCCCTCTGCCCGAAAAGAGGCAGACGGAGGGAGTTTGAGCACCATCTTTAAATAGTTTTATCCAGAAAGACCAGAGTGGTACGTTGAATTCAAAGATGGCTGCAGTTTCGTTCAAGCTGCAGATGATCCAGCGTGTCAATAAAGATCAACTGACACACTCCCACAGATTAAAGTCATGAAAGCGGGAACGAGTTAGACGAGAACGGCCAGTTCTTCTTCAGAGTTTCCATCGTGATCCAGAATAAACTGTATTTATCTGCCAAGTTAACATCATTCCCACGCACTTAAAAGAACTCTTTCTTATTAATAAAAGGCTTTAGCGGAAAGAAAGCTTAATAAAAAAATGTCTTGAGTACGTGTTTATATAAGAGCTGCAGTTTCTTTTACAAATATTTTGAATTTTAGACACAGCAAACGTTTCAAAACAAATTTCAAAAAAGCTTCATATTAATTGTGTTCTCAGTACGGCTCCATGATATCAGAAAGACATAAATGCGATATTTGTGAATATTGCGATATTTATTATGACTAGAAATATGATTCACATGCAGATGTTGCATGCATTGAAACATAATATCCTACTGCTTATTGCAATCAAGCAATCCTTTCCAACTAGCATATTGCATATTAATTTAATTTGATAATCTGAGCATCTCTAGCTACTAAAGTTAGCTCTAAGATAGGTGTGCATTAATATTACAGCACTGCATTTGATGAGGTAATTGTTGGCCATTATATTTTAAGTTTCATGAGCTCACTGCAGAAGATGTTCACACCTGACCTATATTATGATCTAGATGATAAAACTGTAAGTACAAATGAAAACAAGAGGAATAAGGAAAATTAGGATTTAATGCGACTGGTACTGTTTTGGTGGTGTTAACCAAACTCATCACAGTGGGTTGTAATTTTCTGATTTGAAGCAGAACCGTTTATTTAAAACAAGAAGTTGGGAAATCGAATCCTGTCAACTACTTCTTTTCTTAGATCACTGACAATCCTGGGCATTTGATTTATGAGACTGTTATACAACAACTGTGTCTTCAGTCAGAGGAGTCTTTAGAACTGTAATACAGACTGCAGCAGGAGATCCTTTCTGCCCACAGCTGTCAGCATCTACAGCACTTTGAAGAAACACGAATAATATGAGTTACCACATTTAATTTTCCTCTGGGATTATGACGTATCTTTGAATTGAATCTGAAACTAATGTCCTTATGATAAACACACTCATGTCGGTATATGAATATTTACTATTTTTTTAGTAATGTCTCATACTTTTTACCCATATCAGTTGGGTAAAAAGTAAAAAAAAAAATCAATGTAAAAGTAAATGTTCAAAATAAAATTATGAATAGTGTGACGGACCTGTTTTTTGTTGGTGCACTTAAACGAAGACTTATTCTCAAATATAACCACAATCATTCTGATCAGATTTAAATATTTACTTGCAACTAAGCCAAACATCTCTGTGTTTAGATGCTCAAAAAGAAACCAAGCCACATAATGGCTTGGTTACTTTAACTTTAACCAAATTTAACTTGGTTCCTGCAAGTTAAATTTCTTGCAGGAACCAAAGTGTAACCATGACTTGATGCTACATGTTGGCCTTATTCCTGGAGGAGGATCCAGCCTTGTTTTGATGAATTGTGCCATATTTACACAACATGGATTAAACAGATGATGGAGCCCTCTGCAGCTTCAACTTCAGCCCCTTCGGCATTAATCTTGCTTGTGCATTCAGTGATGTGTGTGCAAGTTTGCGTGCATGGCAGTAAATGCATCTTGTAAGGAGGGGTGGGTGCTCCATATACACTGTACATGGACTTGAGGGCTGTTGCCCTTCCCCCACGGAAGAGTGAGTTAATTTGTCTTGCCTTCAGTGGTGGGTGGGCTAATCCTGTCTCAGTTATTCAAGAGAAATTATCCCCCCTCTGTTTTCACTAATAGAGGTTTTAGCCCCTGTCTGAAACCCTTTTGTCCTGTTTGGTCAGTGGTCTCCAGCCGAGACTCCGGGCTCAGGCCTCTCAACCATTAGTTTCTCCGCGTGAGTCCCAGAAGATGCTGGCCAGCTCTGTTCTGGATTTGGGGACGAAGCTTGCAGAAATGAGTCAAACACTGAAATAATGAATCATCTTTGTTTTGGTCACGCTGTCCTTAATCCAGCAGAAGCCACGAGTGCAGCTCCACTTTTTCTGCTCCCGTCACAGTTCATCCCTCTTGACGATGATTTTCATTTTCCTAAGCAGTCTTCCTCATCACACATATCTTCTTGATTTCCCGCTGCTCTGTTTGATGACTTTTGTTAGACACAGCTGATAAAATCTGACCCGTCCTGACAGCTGGCCCAGACCGTGCAGGGTGTGGGCCAGCTCTGCCATCCCATGTGTGGCAGAGCTGGCCCAACACACATGGCTCTGCCACTCAAATCCTGCCCACGTCTTGTCAAGGTAACAACTTTTTCACTGTGCTTTACTACTGCAAAGACCCTTCACCATGGCAACAACTTGCCTTGCTGAATGAAAGTCACGCACATTCAACTTACTGATGAATGTTGGATGTATGTATCCGCACAGTTCGTCTATTATGACGAACGTGCTTCCTATTCTGCCTCCCAACGTAATAATTATACGTCCCTAATTATGCCGTCAGTAGCCAGGCCTGCTGCAACACTTTCTTAGATTCTAGGAGGAGCTAAGGGGAGTGTTTCTCCCCCCTTTAATGGGTTATGAAAGAGTATCCTCTGTTTGCAACTCTAACAGCTGAAGAAACCTGAACTGTGAATGGAGCTGTTAGAGGAGCGGAATGAGCGGCTGTTTAATAATAAACAGGATGAATGTGAAAGAGGAAATTCATCCAACAGACTCTCGTGGCATTGTTTTACTGGAGGTTTATTTGGATAGTGCACTTTTACTCTTAACTTCTTCACATTGCAAACATTACAACTGCAACCTTCAATAAAGTTTTTGGGGATATTGTTGAAAGAAAGCCGTAAGAAGCCACGTTTTCAGCTCACCGCAATCCATGTGTGGGACACACCTAACAAGTGGAAGGAAGTGTTGAAGTCACAAAACACGAAAAGTGAACTTTCTGGTCTGTATTACATCGAAACAATTTTTTGATGCAAAGGAGAGGAGAAGAAAACTGTTTTTTTTCCCCTTCCTAATCTATTTACATGAAAATTACTTGGTTTTTATTTTGTTTACTGAAGGGCAACAGAAAAGGCAATGAAAGCACAGCAAGAACATGTTTCATGTGAATACATTTAAACAGTTTACATTGTTCTTTTGATGTAGATTAGAAATATGTTATCTGCAAAACAGTGGAAAAGCACACCATGCTTCTTTAATGTGGAGCCAAGCAGAAACAAATATAAGGCAAAGAGAAGGGAGCCTCAAACCGAGCCATGTGGCACCCCGCATGATAGAGGATCTTATTAGTTCAGTAGGACTTGAACTAGTCCTTTGGTGTTTTCCTAATGCCCACCCACTATGTCAAATGAGAGAGTAAAACGTTGTGCTCCACTGCATCAAATGCAGCAGTTAAATCTAAACTGGAAAGAACGACACGGTTACCAGAGTTTGTAGCTAAAAATACATATAATTTAAAACTTTTAGAAGAGCCAATTCAGTGCTGTATAAAATTTAAAACCACATTGGAAGACCTCTAAAACAACATCCTTCTATAATCTTTTTTTTCCCCCTTTTATCTGCCCACTAATTGGACATTTCCTTCAGATTTTTTCGGCTCTTGAGTCACAGTCCGTTTTGCTTTCAGTGTCTGGCCCCGGGTTCTCGTTGCTGACTCCATCCCCTCCCTCCAACCAAGTTGTTGAAGCTGTTGACCTTGAACAGGAAGTGCAACCGATTGTTATCTTCTGGAGTCTTTATAATTTGAGTACATCTACAGGCGTGTTTACAAGCCCAGCATCATTATCTGCGCATCACCTCTCACCAGCACATCTGTACACTCTTCTCTCATACCTTAAATGACTCGCTGAAATGCAGAGTGAGAACACTCGCGCAGTTGTTGGGCATCTGCTTTGAGTAGGCTCTAATGAGCAGCACCTGGCTCAGCCAGAGAGATAAACAACAGGGATGGAGGCCTTGTTACTGTAGAGACAGTTTGCTATGACACCTCAGGGTGCAGAGCTCTGCCAGGTTGGAGCGTAATTCGTCATGACAAGTCTCCCTCTAGCGCCCCATGTGACCTCACAGGGGAGCTGCGTCTCTCCTTCCTCCCCTCCACTGTCTCAGGTTGGCTCATGCCATGCATATTTCATAGATGATCCAGGCGTACCATCAAGCCACAGGCCTTAGGAATGAATCTCAATTCCAGTGGAATGTCTTGCATAAATATACGCTCAACGCATGTACACAAACCCAACAGAGTCATGATTATACCTGCAAACCCAAGCAAACTCTGTTAGCAACACCACACCATATAGAGTTTCGTGCTTGTATATTATTACATAAACAACAGATAGTTGCTCTTTTTACTTGATGAAAGCTGTAAATATTTGTACAGTAAACAAAACAGAGTTGGAAATACAGGTAGGTGGGAGCTGGTTATTTATTGTGAATAAATCATAAGAGCTCAGTGTAATTATGATTCTCAGATGAGTTTTAGAAACATTACATTTTTTGCAACTATTTCCAGTCCACAGTTACATAGGTACAAAGTTAAGTCAGGTCAGTCTGATTAAATTCAATGAGATTAAATTCATTTTAGTAAACATGTTCCTGTGTGCTGCCGTACAAGTCATAGTAGGACTGAAACAATTAATCAACTCATTTTGTAATTGATTAATCGTGAACTGGAGAACTGAGACTCTAAAACGGGCCATTTGCTGAAAGAACAAACTTGTATTATCTGCTAAACCAAAACTGTACAAAAAAAATTGTACATTCTGTATTTAAGATTTAAAATAAAATCTTCATTGTTTGTAAATATGTTCTACCCAGAAGTCAAGTGACAAAAGTTTTAGCCTCACTTGGTTGTAAGAAAATCTCCAATTCAGCACCTTTTGTTATCCAATTATTAATCAGTAAATCCCAAAAATAGTCAACATATTATCCCTCTACTGTATTGATCAGTCAAGCATAAAGGATTAAACTTTTTACATGTTGTTGTTTTTAGCTGCTGATTCATCCTTTGCTACAAATAATCAGACATTCAATAAAAGAATGCTGTAATTGTGTTTTAGGCAATTACATTATGCTATTATTTAAAAAGGAATAGTATTTTATCTGCATCACTTGATATATTTTTAATATTACATAAAAAGGCTTAAATAGTTAAATGTAATAATCAGTTGAACGTTCACCCCCTGCTTCTGCCTTCTACATCATCATGAACTGTTCTTCAGTTTTCACGTCTCTGTTAATACACCTCCATACCACCAATTAAATTATTTGTATGCACAACATTAATCCATAACACTTGAAATGTGATATTGCATTAAAGCATCCCTCTGCAAATGCAATAATGCATATAGTGCATTAAGTAGTTGCCGTGACAATGATGGGTATTTGCTATACCTCTGATGTGCATGGACTGCATGGTTCCCCGTCTATTATTCATAGTAAAAATTCAAATTTGTTTGATCGCATGAATAAATGCCATGAAATTCTTCATCTTCTGATGCATTTCCTCCCCCTGGGTTTTCCACATTGCTGTAACAATACATTCATGTGATCACTTGGAACTGGAACTGAAATTAAAATACAATTTATTACACATCCTTTCCAGCAATTTTCCACAAAATATTAAAGTATTACTATGTTTTCCTGTCATTTCAATGCCGCATTTTTATGAGCTGAAAGTTCCAAGTTATACCTGAAGAAAAAAATACAATTTCATTTGATGTGGATGTGAAGGTTGGTATTTGACGCATGGTTGGTTCAACTTTGCACATCAGTAGGAGAGAAATACTTGAAAACACTTCTGGCCTGAGATTTGCATTTTTGATAGTTGATATAAATCAGCCAGTGTACAGGGTCATCTTTTCGGCGGTAGATTCATAACATTACCTTCTTATTCCTGCTCAATTTGCTTAATTTTTTCAAGCATCTGACAAATGACATAAATTCACCTACACTTCTTTCCTTCCTCCCTTTTTCATTTCCTTCTCAAAGACAGCCAATCAGGTTTTGCATAATTCCCTCTGCCTTTGGTGAAGCGTTATCTCCCACCTTCTCTAGAAGTGGAGACATGCTTGAAAATTATATTCTGAAGAAATAAGTCTGAAATCTTTTCAAAGTTTTGCCTCACTTCTGCTGTCAAATCATGTTCATTTTTGCCTCATTGCTTGCTTTCTCCTCTGGCTCATTTTTTGACAGCAGTGCATCCCTTATCCCAGTGAGTCAATGAAGCGTCCTTTAAATTACTGAAAAAGCCCAGCCGAAGCCCATCTCACTCTGATGAGTGGAGTGGACGTTAGCAAAACAAGAGCAGTGTTCGCTCGCTGCCTTGACTCTGGTTGTCACAGTGATGAGTCGCACTTTCCTCTTCTCATTTGTGCTGATATTTGTCCTGGGTTGATGGATGACAGAATGACCACTTAACTCAATTTTTCCTCTTGTCCTTCTCCTGGACTCTGCTTCGTTTTTGCTCTGCAGGGTTGGAGAGTGGTGGAGTGACTCTGAAGGAGCCGGCTTCTGAAGGGGAAATTGAGAACTCGACTCCGGTCACGTTGCGTTGTCACATCGATGGACACCCACGGTAATTGTTGACCTCTGCTTCTACAGCAGGTCTCTAAAGTAGAAAATGTGTGTTTGCTGACAACACGTTCCATCCTGAGTCCTGCTCTCCTTCCCTTCCTCCCAGGCCGACCTGTCAGTGGTTCAAAGACGGAGTGAAGCTGATGGAGAGCAGCCATCAGACCAACAACAAGGACAGGACTCTGACCATCCAGAGCGCCAGTCTGGATGACAGCGGCGATTACTACTGCTGCGCCAAGAACGCAGCCGGCTCCGTCTGCAGCAGCAACTACACACTCACCATCATAGGTGAGACATTTTTTCTTAAAAAAGTGGTGATGAAACTTATTTATGACTCACTTTACATTATTTCAGCAAAAAAGTATAATAATAATAACAAATTGTCAAAAACTTAAATATACCAGTGGGAGGTTTCCACAAAATTTCAATAACAAAAGACAAGATCAGATTTTTGTTGCTCCCTTTATTGATAATTTAAGGCTGGTAACTCTGGAAGCTGTAAGTCCATACACCTGTTGGAAAATCCCAGTGAGCTTAACATCCTGGTTCCTATCAGGATGCCATTTCAATGCCAATTTTCTTTTTTGATGTCCTCTGAGGACATCAAAAAAGGCCAGTGAAGACTATTGACTCAAAAACAGTGAAAAATCAATGGAAAGATTTCCGGATAAATTCACAATACAATAGACCCCCAGAGTCACTTGCAAACAATTAAAATCTACAAATGCTCATCCAAAAATGCTAATAACTGCCTATTTTTCCAAAAAACAAATGTACCTTAATATGTATTAATATACACAGTTTAAACCGTCTTAGCACTATTGCAGAAGCTAACACCCATGACATGTCTTCTTTCTGTTTTTGCTTTTTTGCAACATTTCAATGTTTAAGATTAAAAAACAGTATTAACATCCGACAAAAGCTCTGAGTATATACAAAAAGCAGTTATTAAATTATAATTTTATGCTACCCAAAGTAACCTGTGTGAACAGTAATTGCCTCGTAAACATAATAACCAGTTGTACCAGCCCTGGTTGCTACACCGAGCGTTTCCAGTAACAGGCAATGGGTGTTTTTTTTGTTTAGTTTTTTTTTTATCACTCTGGAGGAATGTTGGTCCACTCTTTGCAGAACTGTTTTAATTCATTACAGGGTTTTCTGGGTTTTTGCTGCCTCTTAATTGGATTTTAACTATGCCACTCCAAAATCTCATTTTTGTGTCTTTAGAGCCATTCAGAGAGATGCTTGCTTCTTTGGATCATTGCTCTGCTGCATCGCAAAAACGTCAATGAGTTTAAGATTAACAATTGATAGACAGAAATGCATAATATTTTAATAATTTTTTTCTAAATTTCTTAAAAAACCAGCCCCAAACAAGAAAATTGTTTTAAATATACCTAAGATTACACATATTTATACACATATGACAAAATATAAATACATTTTTTATGCAACAATTTTTGAAAAACTAATTAGAATTTAAAAACTGTCCCTTTCTGTTAAGTGGGGCTCTAGATCACCAATTTAACAGAGTGGCTCGAAGTGCTCCAGGCAAACCCCGGAGTTGGAGATAAAGCTGTAAAATCCTAACATTCATTCACATTAGTCTTTCTTTTTTATGTGGGTTTTCTCTGCCTTTTTTCAAGTCTGCTGCTGCTGCAAATGAAAGGATAGGAAGTCGGTTTAAACACCATTAGTGATGAGAGGAAGCCCTGAAAGAGCATCTAATGAGATTATAAAAGAGTGTACTTGTACCTTCATTTCCCGCCTCCCACGCAGACTGAAAAATAAACATAAAAACGTGCAAAGCGAATAATAACTTGATATCCTAAAGTGGAAAGATCCCACTGATGATCTGAGTGCAACGGATGCTTTCAGACAGTTTGCTGTTCAGGGAGGTTGTTTGTTTTCCTCCAGAATCTGTTGTTTAACCCATTATGTGTGGCTTTAAAGTTAATATGGCAGCATGTCTGTGCTGGAGAAACCTAACACCCTTCTTCATTTTAATTACCCACCTGTAAGACTCTCAAATACTGCGATAACACCTGCATGGGGGAACAAAACCCTACAAGCTTCCAGTTACAATCTTGCCGCCGTCTGCCTCTTTAATAGGCGTCATTGTGAGAAAAGGCAAATTTATCCTGTTTTTCCTGTGTATTGAGGCCATCCCACTGATTTCTTGGGTGGGCCAGGTGTTCTCTGACTACACACCTCTTTTTGTTCTCAGTTTTTCCAGAAGTAACCCTGAGCCTTATCCCAGTGCTCCCTCTGGCACCATTCCTCCTCCTTGTAGGTGTGAAAATTAGAAGTTTTGACCCAAATCTTTAAACCTACTTAGATTTAAGAGTATTTTCATGCTTTGCCTCCTGTATGGAACTCAGCAGTTTTAAACTTTTTATTTTGAGTACAATATTTCCCCTCCTACTTGTATTGTACAGCCAATCTTTCCTTTGACATATCAGAGTAGAACAAAGTTTACCCAAGAACGCTTGTTTGGGAAAATTATAAAATAATATGTGCTCTACCAGATTTGGGAATCATTTAAATCTCATGCCCAGAATATTAATACTCACATTTTGCATATTTATTAAGCAAAGATGGAGCCAAAATTGACAAATTGCTTTCTACACTGCTTCTCACTTCTCAGCAGTGTAGAAATCAGGATTATTGTCATCTGAGTGCCACAGAGCAGTCACACAGTTTTACTTAACATGAGGAGCGTTATGGCTTTTACCATAATGGTCCACTACAGAGAATACAAAAAACACCTTAGAAGTCTGCTTCTACACCTGCAGAACAAGAGAAAAGCAAACAATATTTGCACTTATAATAGCTTTACTGAAAAAATACACAGTACAGCCCAATAGAGATCCAACATTTCGGTGTGTGATTATTCTTATGGTTTATCCATATGACTGTTAAGGAGGAAAGACTTCAGTAATGACTGTGAAAGCAACTGTTGCTGCAGTTAGAACCTGTTCTGCTGCTTCCACATGTAAACATGCATATGTTTTGTCTTTCTTTCTTATAGATAAGAGAGTGCCAAAGCCGGTGGTCACCCCTGAGAACCAGGTAGTGCTGAAGAATGAAGAAGCCATGTTGCATTGTCAGTTCACTGCGGAGCCTGAACCCACATTGGAGTGGTATCATGAGAACGAGCTGCTGGTTAACAAGTCTCGGTAAATTGCTTCCTCATGTTGTTTCTTCCCCTTCTACTCATACCGGCTGATCATCCAGCTTTCAGCTCTTTCTATCATTTCACAACACAAACTTAAGCATCCACCTTCCTAAGCTGCTCCACTTCCGGTTAGTAGAAACCTTTGCGTTATCCTCATGGCTCTCTTTTTCAGCTTTAGACAAATTGCTCATCAAGGGAAGCAATAGCTATAACAATGGGCAGTCTGCCATACATCACTTGAACAAAGCCTTTGTCTGCAGTCTTCCAGTGTTCTCACAGTGAGTGGAAAAAGCCCACAGGCTGCAGTCATCTCACCAGTGAAGCCATTACAAACACACCATTTATTCATATTTTGTCCCATTCCAACTTAAAAATTTAATTTTACTGGGATTTTATGAAATATAACACAAGGTAGAGCATAATTAAACCTCCCACATCCAAAGCCAAACTATCGACAACGACGATGTCATTTCCATTCGGGAGCTTTTAGCCATTTTGACATTCTTATAATTATAGTAGTTATTTAGTGAAGAACTGTACAAAAGTACATTTTTCCTCAGCACGTCACATAAACAGCCCTCAAAAATGGTTTTGTCTCCTGCACAATATGGCTGAATGATATAATTATTGATAATTATTCATGTTTTTTGTTGTCAATATTAGAAATATTGCCATATATGCAGCATGCCCTTTTCTGTTTTATCCCCAGTTTTCACTCCATGACATTATTTATTTTATTATAATTATTTTTGAGCGGTTACAATGTACATTGGTAAAATCTTTAACTGCTGAATAACTTGTGCAACTAAGTGGTTGCAAGGTGACCAAGGAGTGAATCAGTTGTTGCCACTCATCTTGATTAGTTGTCGATAAAAGGTTGAGCAACTAAAGCGTTTCCTCTTTTCATATATTTCTTGAACTAGCTTAAGTAGCTTTTATTTGATTCCACAATTATTATTTGATTCCACAATTATTTATCAGAATAATCGATGACGAGGCCTCTCAGAAAAAAATTGTTTTTCTGGACAATAAATTGTCCCAGAAACTATTGCGATGAACAATAATGTTATTGTCTTGAGACCATTTGCAATTACCATATTAATGATGGCATAATAATGCAAATAAATGCAATAAACTTTAATTTTGTAAAGACTTAACCCTGGAACACGTTCAATCTTGAATGATAAAACACGCACGATTAAAATCATAAATGAAATAGATTATGATGTCACTGTAAGCAAAATGATCAATCCCATTTTAATTAATACTTGATTGATTTTTGCTTTTGGCACAGGCTTGTCAATTAGTGAAATAATCACAACAGCCTGGATGGCACAATTATAACACAGAATTGTGTTTGATTCCTCTTTAAAACCTGGATTTGTTGGTTGAGGAATTCCCAGGCAACGTTGTGTTTTGTGCATTCTTGTTTATTGATGTGAGCTGATTGTAACGCCAGAGGAATGCAGCTCGGTGTGGGCAACAAATCTGTTTGGATAACCCTCTGCACATTTTGTTTGATTATCGGATGAAGACTGGTTTTCAGATCTTTCGAAATCAGGAGAAAATAGACAAGGCTGTTGTGCAAACTGTGAAACCGAGTGTTTGTTTATGCACAGGATTCGGCAGAGCTATGAGGATTTTTTAAGGGAAAAAAAAGTCTGTCTTGACTTATTTTCTTGTGAGGTTATTTTAGAGGTTTCCCTTGGAGTGAAGTCGTTTTCATTGTCATCATGGGGGAAAACGTACTCAAAGTCCCACAGCTCGTTTTCTTTCCTCTTTCTGAACAAAGACTAGATGACAGAAGTATCGCCCTGCCTCAGGGATGCAGTCAACGCTGGACGATTCTTCTTATAAAATAACCCCAAAAGCATTTTACTTTTACTTTTATTAGATATTGTATGTTTTAAAACTAAATCCACAATAACTTTCTCATCAATCTGTGAAGAGCTGCTGATTTGCCTTTAGCGATGGTATCACATGTGAGATTTCTATCTCACTCTGGCTTAAGGTCAGTCTTTAATTACTTTGCATCCTTTCCATCACTCACACTGAAGCTGCCAGCAACTTGGGTCCAGCTGGCAGCTTTCACCCCCTGAAGGATAGAAATTTATTTTTAATCATAGCAGAATGTGGGAAGTTTTCTGTTCTTTCACTGCAGACTTGTTCTCAGTGGGATGTTGTTGTTGTTTTTTTTCACTACTGCTGTGAGATGTTGATTGTTTATTGTAAATCAGCCCAGTTTAGGCATGATGGACTTACTTGTTAAGGATGAAGGAATTGAGCTGGGAATTTCCTGCTGATGAGTTTGGGTTCGTCGTGGAGAACGTTGTTGTTGCGTGTGCTGATATGCAGGCAGGGCGGCTGTCCAGGCTGCCTGGGCTGCAGAGGATGAAATTTATCAGCATTTTCCAGGTCCGGATAAACATGAAAAATAGATTTGCATGTCCAGATCTTATTCTCTCTTTGTTTTTACATCCATCAGTCTGTCCATTCACCCATCCTTTGGTATATTCATTCATATCTTCATTCGTCATCCATAAATAGCTTCTGTTCATCCTTCCATTTCATTCATCATCAATGTCTTTCATTTATCCACCCATTCATTCATGTCTTCTGATCATCCATCAATCTGTCCGTCAGCCTGTCTGTCCGTCCGTCCGTCCATCCATCCATCCATCCAACCATTGTTCCATCAATCTATATTTTGGTCCATCTGTTGATCCATCCTTAGACCATATCTTTTGTCTGCCCATTCATCCTTTGGCCAATCCATCCTTCCTTCATTCTGCACTGCTGTAGAAATATCTACAATAAATTCATGAGGAACTTTTGCATTTGCAGTTTTAAAATTGCCCAAAAGATGCACCAAGCTCTGAAAACCTAAATCTGAATTGGTATGAAATTCTCCCACCTAATGTCCGTAGAGGCCCTGGTCGGGTTCTGTCAAATTCATGCACCAATCTCTTCTAAATCGTCTGTTTTTTTCTGTTTGTTCTCCGCAGCGTGTCCCTGCTGTCCAACGGCAGTCTCCTGATCACACAAGTCAAACCCAAGTACACAGGAAACTACAAGTGTGTGGGACGTGGTGTCGGAGGATCTGTGGTTACACAGATTGCATCTCTCCAAATAGCTGGTACACACATGCGCACACATTAAACTGCAGCTGCTCAATTGGTGACAGACAAAAACCTGTGTTTCTGAAATCCGAGGAGGGCTTATGTTACACCCCGACCCCGTCCATGGCTCTGCTCTGCACTCCACTCCTTTCACTTACAGCCAGATTTCCGTGATGATGATCAGATTCCCATACGGACATCCGGCTCTGCTGGATCCAGTATGCGCTGAAGACGCCAGTGGATCACATTATTTGCAGGTGTTTTCCAGACTTGTTCAGACCAATGAGCTTTCTCCAGAGTAAACAACACCTGGCAGGCAGAGATAATTAACAAATAACATCCTCATGTTGCTGAAACAAGGGATGAAAAGACAATACAGCAAAATACCATGAAAAAGGATAATAAATCTCATCATTTTCCAAATAAAAGTCTGCTAAATACAGTATGAATTTGTGTAAAGGAGTCCAAATACATAAACTTGGAAAAACTCCCTAGAGAACAGTTTTAATCAGCATCAAGCTTCTCATCTTGCATTTTCTGATGCATGTGCATGCAAGTCCAGCATTGTGACTGAGCTCAGGGTTGGAATTTCTAAGCATTTCAAAGTCCTGATCACCTGATTGCTTTCCTCTTTATCCCAAGGGTCAGGGATTAACTAGAAATGACTGAATCTGCAGTTTTAACCCACAGAACCACAGATCCATATAAATGCCACATTTCCCAGCTGGCACCACATGGAGTTTGGTGTTACAGCAACAGATAATCCCTTTTCTGCTCCACCTTCTTCATTTTTTTGTGTTTCCCAGGTCTGGATAAGTATGGAAAAAGTAAATGATTGGAAAAATTGCTATATTTCCTGACTGTATTCCCTGTCCCATTGTGTAAATATTAGTCATTTTCCCTTCTCTTTTGTTGGTGTGTTTTTCCTTTCTTTCAACCTTCCTTGTGTCTTTTGATTTTTCCTACCTCATGCCCCCTCTTATTTTTTATTCCATCCTTTCCTCCTTTCTTTCCTCCCTTATTTACTTACCTCCCACTCTGCATCCTTATAGCCAAATATATTTCCTTGCTTGTGTTGCTTAATTTTTTTGTGTTCTTGTCCTACCACCTTTTTTCAAGTTTCCTTCCTTACTCTTTGTGCCATTCATTTATCTTTCTTTTCATCCATCCTACCTCCCTTTCTACTTGTTTCTTTCCTTCTGTTTTTTTCTTCCCTGTATTTGTCATTTTCTTTTCCCCTTTACCTATTCCCTTCCCCATTATTCTACCTTCATTTAAACTTTCTTTTTCTTTCTTTCTTACTTTGGTTTTTCTCTCATTTCATTCTTTTTTCTTTTGTTTTTTCTGTATTTGTGTCTTTCCTTTATTTCTTCTCTTTCTTCTCTCTGTCTCTCCCTCTCTCGCTCTCTCTCTTTCATGAAGTATTATTAACTTCTATTTGTGTATTAATGCTAACAGCAGATGAAGGTCTTGTGACCTGTAACAGATCTCATTGCTCTTTGTATTTAGGGGCTGCTGATTTTTGGCGTGACCCTCTAAACAGAAGTTAATCCCCCTCTAAGTCCAACCTGTTCTCTGTTTGTCTTCCTTCCACTGGTTTCTGCAACTTACTCCTAAAATCACAGGATTTACTTTTGCAAGACAAGAAATCCCTCAACTGGGAATTAGTATTGCTCAGGGCCAAATCAAAATGCTTCAGTGACTCTGAAATTGATGATTAAATGGAAATCAGCTGGGGCATTTTAAATCCATACCTCACACTCTATTATTTCCATCTCCCTGCTCTTCGCTGCAGACATCGGAAGCATGTCACCAAAGATGTCGAGGGTGTTCACCACCGACACCATGCAGCGGGTGACCTGTCACCCTCCAACAGGGAGGCCTGACCCCGAAGTGTGGTGGGAGAGGGAAGGTCACAGGGTGCCCACGGAGGGCCGGGTGTACCAGGAAGACCTGGACCTGGTCTTCAACCGGACGGAAGAGGGCGACTCAGGCGCCTTTACCTGTGTGGCCCAAAACAAGGCCGGGCGCAGAACCCAGGAAGTCATGTTCACCGTCGCAAGTAAGTGAAATGGGGAAACATTTTTGAGCTACTAATGCAAGCTGGCAATGTTTGAATGAAGACACAAAATGGATCTCATGAAAGGTAAAGTTGGGATGGGATTATGCAGATATCTTGGAGATTATTTATCAAAAATACATGGCTGCATGACCCTGTAAAATACAAATAAAAAAATATTCATCATGTTTATATGTGGAGAACATTTTGTCTGTGCACCCATTAAAATTAAGAAGATATTAAAATACTAAAACCCCAAGTTCTTAGCTTTAACAGCTGTAATAAACATTTAAATGTATTTGTTTTCATATACATAAGTGGTTCTTCAGTAAAATGAAGTCATAAAAAATTAAATTAAATTGTCCAGTAATTGTGACATTAATTCTTGTATGCTAGTAATTTCTACTCTTAGTTTTTTTGTTTCTTTTGTCACAGAAAAGGTCCAAAGAAAACCAAAAAACATACTAATCATTAGCATTAATATAAATACAGTTTGATCCAAAATCCATCAGAGGGAGTTGAGTGTACATGGTGACTATAAACTGATGTTGCATACTGATGTCTCTCTGTGCCTCCATAGCTCCCCCGGTCTGGGTGTCCAAACCTCTGGATAGCAGCTTAGAGGAAGGTAAACCAGGTTACCTCCACTGCCACGCTCAGGCCAACCCTCAGCCTGAGGTCTCCTGGTTCCGCAACGGCATGGAGATCACACCTGAGGTTTGTTGCCTCTCAAAGCTGACGGCTTTTCTTAACAACATACAAGGTTGTTAAGAAGTCGCACATACACATAATAACCTTGTATGTTTTTAATAACATACGAGATTGTCTTTGTTCATTACCTTATTTGCCTCTACGTAGGTTTATTCTGATGGGCTTACTTTGTACTGCTTAATGTGTAAATTATGTAATCTTGTATGTTCTTAACAACATAGAAGGTTAAGAAGTCCCCTCTTCATTTTGCCCTCCAGGACTCTCGTTTCAAGCTGTTTCCTAACGGCACCCTGAGGATCAACAACGTGGAGGTGTACGACTCCCAAATGTTCGGCTGTGAAACCAGAACCGTCGGCGGCCGCCTGTCTGGCCAAGCTCGAGTCACTGTGCTGGGTAAGCTGCAGGGGGAATGCTCTATACACCTATTTAAATTCTTTCTCTGCTGAAAGGCTCTGTGAAATGGATGAAATAAAAATGTTTTTTCATCCATTTCACAGAAAAGAAACAAACGCGGGTTAATACCTGAGGGCCTGTGTGTTTGCTTGCTAAATCAGGAATCTGTGTTATGTGGGTTTTCTGCAGGGACTCACACAGAGGTGTGAAACATGACTCATATATTTGGTCCAAGTCTACGTTTTAACACCTTATCTCCATCATGCATTCCTGTCTCCTGCCGTAGAGTTAAACTGTGATAGATGGCCAGCATGTTTACTTGATCCCAGGCTCTGATAAACCACAACCTCTTTGTAATCATTAAGTTGTGTGACGTTGTTGCTGCAAAACCATTTGGTCACATTTGTCTCTTTTTGACCACCAAATTGTGTTTTATTGGGACTTTACGTCATTCTAACTTTTTAGAACTCCTTCATCTCACCTCATTGGAAACATCTGTGTGTAATTTAACCTAATTTTTAAACCAGCTGTGCCAGGAACAAATGGAGGGAGCCGCTTCAAAATCAAACTATTTGGCTTATCTGCAAAACGTTTTGGTGGAAAGTTAACAATGAATCATTCTGACCTCACTATCCCATTTGAGAAGCACAGTGATGGCAGCATCATGATGTTGTCCAGAGAAGCTGGTCAGTTTTTCCGAGCTGCAACTTTTAGAAAGTATGAGTTCGAATAACTCAGTGCTCTGTCCAATCTGACCATTTTCATCAGTGGTTTTTAATAACTATGAATAAAGAACCCATTTTTGGTATTAAGTATGGACATAATATAATATAATAACTAATAACTAATGCATGTGTTATATTTCATATGACATTTCCACAGAAATGCCACTAAAACTACCATTAATATTTTTTTAAATACATTTTGGAAATTGTTTTTTGTATTTATATATTTTTTACAGAAGTTTTCAAGCATTATTCTACCCCTCTTTTTTTTTAAGTTTTATGTTTTTCTTTATTCAAATAAATTGGTGGTTCTTTAAAACCCCTTAAAAATTCAGTGTTCTTATATGCACCAACGTTGACCTACATGTCGGCGTCTTGAGATTGACGGTTAGGCAGTTAAAAATGACGACAATTTTCCTAAAGTAGATATTTCTCTAAAAGTTTTACAGGGTTTTTTTGGTTGTGTAACATTAGCAGCTCTATAAAAGATTTATTTATCTGGCCTGGGGATGAAAATGGCTCTTTGAATTGTAAATGTTGCAGACCACTGAACTATGAGAAAAGAGTGTTGCAGCATTTTAATGTCTAGATGTGCAAAGCTGTTAGAAAAAGTGATCCAAAAAATGTATGTACTATTTTTTGTATTTTACAAAAAAATCCAATAAAATAAATAAAACTTGCTGCTAAATATGTAAAGGCTCTGAATATGTTTGTAAGGTGCTGCAGATCAGTTTGGTTCCATTTTATTTGTAGGGAGAATTGCACAAAAAAAGCTTTGACCTTCCTCCACCTCCCTGTGTTTTCACCGCATGTGTTAACCACATGTAATGTTTCCCTGGAACTTGTGTTTCAGAGCGGCTGAAATTCACACCCATCCCCCGGTCGTTCCAATGCCTTGAGCTGGAAGAGGAGATCACCATCCAGTGTTCCGCCACGGGCCAAGAGAGCCCCAGAATCCGCTGGACCAAAGCAGGTACGCATGGCGCTGGCTTAACCTTCGCCCCCCGTTGTTGTAGATCTGATAAGGAAAAAGCTGTCTGAACAATATCTCACCCCGAAAAGAAGCAGTAGCAACCTGCAGATCTTTGTAAACATTAAGGCGAGACGTGTTAAAACCTGCGTGGTCTTCAGCAAACATTGTGAGGAAGATTTATCATCGCAAACCTCGTCTCGTTTGTCTTCATTAACCAAGAGGGAGAGCCTGTTCCCTACTGAACCCGCTGCCTGTTGGGGCTGGGTACTGTTAAAAAGCCTCATAATTTAATTACATTTTTGTTCTTTGAGTCATGATTCAATAGCAATTTGATTAAATGTTGATTTAAATACTGTGGTATTGTTTTAATAATGAATAGTATGCAAGTAATTTATTGGATTATCAATTAATTTACTGTAATTACCTCAACAGTGTATATAGTCACCTTTTTGAGCAGTAAAATCTCTGAAAATAAGACGGTAGCACAGTAACACTTTGGCTTAATATGGAGTTCAAAAGTTAAAACGTGACTATAGTACTTGATCAAAGTTGCAACCCCTACCTTCCTCAAATTAAACAAAATTAGTGTCAAATATTTGTTACGTTTGTGCGAGTCTGTGCAGCAAAAAAACTTACATTTTTTAAAAAAATTTTGTTTTCAACTTAAATAAAATTGTGTCACTCGAGTGAAGTTGCCATCCCCCACTTTTTTCAAATCAATTGAAAAACATGTTTGTGCAGTAAGTTTTTTTTTTTTTGTGCGGCTATCATTTTAATGATAATTGATAAACTAATTGTTCTATGTTTGCACAGCTAAAATTTTACAGCGCAGTTGATTGACAACAAATTTGCTTGATTTTGTAAATGTGTCTGATTGTGGCTGTGACGATTCAAGAAAAACTCAAAGAAGATGACAATTTTACATATAGGATTTTTATGTGTGATACCAAGCTAATATAGCACAATTAACAGTTTTCCACATCGATATTGAATTGGAAAACATATTAATTGCATTGATAAATCGATATATTCACCCGCCACGCCCCCCTCAGATGGAGGAGAGCTCCCACCACACGTGGAGCAGAAGAACGGCCAGCTCCGCTTCAACAGGGTCACTCGCAACGACGCCGGCAACTACACCTGCATCGCCTCCAACAGCCTGCAGGGGGAGATCAGAGCCCTGGTGACCCTCATTGTGACCAGTAAGCCACCTTCGATGTAGAAATACCCCACACCGAGAGTTTTTATTTATTAGAGCGGTTTAATGTTGATTTTTCTCATTAAGATCCAAAGAAAGCTGCATTTAATGTTCTCTGAGAGACGATTTTACTATAATGAAAAGCACCCAGTAGCTGAGAATCCATTGTTTTCACCAATTGTGTCCTCACATTAATGAGCTTTTTGCTTATTGTTCTGTCCATACTCGCACATGCAGTGGATATTCGCTTTGAGGTGAAGCCAGAGCGTACGTCGGTGTACCAGGGGCACACTGCTGTCCTGCACTGCCAGGCCGCCGGTGAACCCAAACCTCAAGTCCACTGGATTGTGAAGGACAAGGTTCTGGGTGTCGTCAATGACAGCAGGTAAATGAGACCAGACTGATATAAAGTGAACAGAATTATCACTTTAAACAGGTTTTGAGAAAAAAAGAAAAAGACTTTCAGTTGATTTTGTATGAATTCTTTTGAAGACTGATATACAGCTCTGGAAAAATTTAAGAGATCATTGCAAAATGATTATTTGATTATTCTGATTTAACTTTAGCAGGTTTATGTTTGAGTAAAATGAACGTTGTTCTTTTATTCTATGAACTACTGACATGTCTCTGAAATTCCAAGTAAAAATGTATTTGCAGAAAATAAGAAATGGTCAAAATAATAAAAAAAATATATGCAGACCTCAAATAATGCAAAGAAAACAAGTTCATGTTCATTTAGGAACAACAATGCTAACGATTTTACTCAGGAAAAGTTCAGAAATGAATATTTGGCGGAATAACCAGGAGGTTTTCATTGGGGTTCGGTGCAGTGATTTCTTGCTTCTTTTCCAGAGCTGTATGTTTTCAAGTTTTTTTTGTGTGTGTGTTATACAGCTTTATTGTAGTATTTCAACTATAGGCAGTGTTTTCTGACAAAACTATTGATAGTCATTGTCAGAACAACATTGAAGAAAAGTTTGCATCTCATTTTAAGCAAAATTATTCATTTCCCTTATTGATATCTTATCATTTTGCATCTAAGCTGTAAAAATTATGACTAATATTGCAAAATGTCTTTTTTTTCCTCTCTTCCTTCCTTGTGTCCCTTCTTTTTTCCTTCCTTCCCTTTTTCCTCTTATATCGCTCCATTTCCCTGATCTAAACATTTTGAAATAAACTGGGGTGTGTTGAGTCTGTGAAGGTTTCTTAATTTCTACATAAAAATGTTCTGTTAAATTTAGGACAAATATCTGCTTGTAGCTTTTCATCCCGCTGGCATGTGGGCCCCTCCTGCTACGTTTTGTTGTGTTATTTTATCTGACAGCTCTTAACACTTCTGCAGATTTGGTGTATGTCTAAAAATCCTAAACATGATCATTTAAGACAGACTGTGACTCTCCGTCTGTGTGTCGACCAGAATCCAGGAGATGCCGAACGGCTCGCTGGTAATAAGAGACGTCACCACTGACGACTCGGGTCGGTACACATGCGTGGCTGGGAACAGCTGCAACATCAAAGACCAAATGGCTCGGCTCTATGTAGTGGGTAGGTCTAACACGCGCACACACAGAGGCATGCTTCCAGAGGTTTTCTTTTACCAGGGACAAAAGTGCCCACGTGGAGCGGTAAGCCACAATCACAGAAACAGAGAGGAGGCATTAATTAAACCTCCACCTGTCTGTCAGTCACCCATGGCGACAGGTTAATAACCTGCCCCACGTCTCCGACGCCACGACTGACAGGGGTTGATGGGCTCGGGTTGATGCTGGATCTAATAAAGCTTTGCACTCTGAGGCCGATAAAAGCTGAGAATTACAGTCACACTTTTGCACTTTACCTGAACAGAAAGATTTCAGAGAGAGAGAGACGATTTAATTTAGTCGTTAGTCTGGGTTGGCGTGACAAAGCCGCCCAGTTAAACCACATCTGTAACTTGATCATTTTAACCTTTTAAGCGGTAAAGACTTGATGTTTGCTTCTGTAGAACATGTGATTGCTGCATCCTTCAGACAGTGGGGCAGACTTTTTAAATCTCTAAATAATCTTGTACCAGTCTCACATGTTTTCTAAAGGCATCCAAACATTCTGCAACATGCAGGGTAATTTTTGCTATAGCCTGTACAAAATGCACGCTGGGGGCTACTAGCATGGTTTTATCTCAATTCTACAGTGTGGTAAATATCACCAAATTGAGGCCAATGCACAATTTTTTATTTTCTCTTAGATCTGCAAATTTTGCAGACAAATAAAATCTTAAAATGACAACAAAAAAAAACCTTGGTACAAGCTTAGAGACTCTTAATTTTTTTTCCATTTCTTATAGTTTAGTAGTATAATAGGACCACAAATATTCAGCAGCTTTTACTCAGACTTTATAAATAGAATAAACTGTAAATGTTAAATTTGGCTGATTCTTAATTGAGACTGCTGACATGCACAATAGGACTGATTTTCTATTGTAATAAAAAAAGAGAAAGGTAAACCAGACAAATGGCATCTAAAAGAATTTTAGTGCCCCAAAATCAATGGAAGCAGAGGAGAAAAGCTGGATGTGTGGAGGTCCAACGTTTCTTTTTTAATTTTGTTTTGTTAGCAAATTTTTTGTCCCACCAGCTAGCCTCAGATAATTATTTCACTGGCAAGAATTTGGTTGTCATAAAATCAGCCTTAGGGTTTTCGTTATGAGTATGTGACATGTGAATGAACAGTTTGTGCTGCCATAGGATTTTTGATTAAAAACTCAAAATCTCTTCTTTTTTTTTCATTGCCATGAAGAGGATTACTGTTTTTCTTTTATCAGTTTAATTCAAGAGTTTCACTGTAAATTTTCATTGTAGCCTCTTTTGTGTGTAAAGTGTAATATTTTTTTGCATTTTTGGGAGCCATTTAAGTGGTAGAAAATCCCTTCATTGTAGTTTGATAAACTAGGGGCCCCAGACAGCATCTCGCTTTTAGCTCCCCCAAAGTTAGAAATGACCCTGTCAACATGTGCTTTCAACATCAAGCATCATAACCGTTCTGTGTCCTGCAGACAAACCTCCTTACCACGATAGTGTTGAGGAAGACAAGGCTCCGTATAAGATGATCCAAACCATCGGGCTTTCTGTGGGGGCAGCCGTGGCCTACATCATTGTGGTTCTTGGACTGATGTTCTACTGCAAGAAGAGACGCAACACCAAGAGACTGCAGAAGGGCCAGGATGGAGAAGAGCCAGAGATGGAGTGTCTCAACGGTAGGAAACGATCTCTGGATTACACGAACACGCCAAAAAGCTTCATAAGGCCATTGGTGATTAAAAGGACCCTACGCTTAAAAAGTTAAACTTGATCTTTTTAAACTATGCAGCTCTAATTACAATCTTTAGCGCATTTTTCAGATGTACTTTTGGTTATGGTAGGAAAGAAACAGCTTTTTCCTAGAATGCTTTATGAACAAGTTGGCATGACAATAGTGTCTAATGGCTGCTATAGTTCCCTCTCTTACCATCCTTCTCAGTGCATGTCGACAAAACCAATGCAGTCATCGTCCAGACATGTTTGTCGTTTTTCTTCATTTTCTCCAAGTTCTTTTCTGACTTATGAGAATCATCACTTCCTAAAGTAAAGTGCAGTTCCTCATGTGATTTTTTTTTTTCTTTTTGTCCTGTCATACTAGAGACAGGCAATTATTGTATTGTTGTGGAGAAAAAATTAAATAAGATTTCAGATTTATTGGGACAACAATAACTTTTAATGCACATATTCAAAATCCCACAACTGACATGGTTGAAATTTTCACTTCCATTGTTTGGACTAATTTGTTTCCCAATGTTGGGTGAAAAAACAGCATCAAATACATATATTTAAAAATATGACTTATAGCAATATTGACTTAATTATAAAGTTATCCATTCATGCATTGGTAGATGATTGAAAAATATTCAAAACAGTCAATAAGTGATTGGAGATTTTATTAAACAGTTTTTTCTTGTTTGTTTTTTTATAAATGTCCTCCAATTAAACATTGGATTTAATGTGAGGTCATCCTGGTGCAGTAGAAAATGAGTTTAAGTTGAAACTTTTCACACATCTATCAATAATTATGACCTTTTACACTCCTTATATATGGTTGGTTCTCTTTCCCTGTTTTCTGATGCTGAAAATGTTGCTGTCTGAATATTTGTTGCCATCTTGTGTTAGTTATGGGTATTGCAGGTAAAAAAAAATACCAGAGGATTTATCTAAGTGGAGATATTGGTTGTCTAAATCTGTGACTTTTAATCATTATTGGATGTTTTTTTTTTTTTTTTTTTGGCTGTTATCTTTGACCTTTTGTGGATGTGTGTTGTTTTCTTCAGGAGGTGCTGTTCAGCAAAATGGCCACACCATGGCGGAGATCCAGGAGGAAGTGACACTCACCAACATGAGCACAGTCGCTACGACCGAGAAACGCCACAGCCACGCCAGCGATAAGCTCCATTTTCCCCGTGCAAACCTCCAAACCATCACAACACTCGGTAGTTTAACCCTATTATTGTTAATTTAGTTTTATTTTTGTCCGTCTGTTCTGATGTGTTTGGTGAATGTTTGCTCAGGTAAAGGGGAGTTCGGTGAGGTGCTGCTGTCCAAAGCGAAGGGTATCGAAGAGAGCGAGGTGGAAGCGGTGGTTCTGGTGAAGTCACTGCAGTCCAGAGACGAGCAGCTGCAGAGCAACTTCCGCCGTGAAGCCGAAATGTTCGCCAAGCTGAACCACCCCAACGTAGTGCGACTGCTGGGCCTCTGCAGAGAGACGGAGCCGCACTACATGATCCTGGAGTACTACGACCTGGTACACACACAAGAACTGAAATAAAGAAATAAACACCTTTATGTTTCTTTATTTTATATGGTTTTTGCTTTTTTTTTTCTTATAACAGGGAGATCTGAAGCAGTTCCTAAAAATTTCCAAAAGCAAAGATGACAAGGTGAAGTCTCAGCCAATCAGCACCAAGACAAAAGTAAGTCCTGAAGGTTTTATTTTTGCTCTAAAGCTGCATTCTATGTCAAATATGCTTTATAGCTCTAATTTGAGATTTTTATTCATTTTTGTTTCAATCGTGTCGAGGCTTTTTGCTCAGAATAGCTCATTCCCAAGTTAGACGTAGAAAAAAAAGTCATGTTGCTTGTTGATCCAACAAACCAGCACCCTACTGAGAAATTTAAAAGCACTTTTCAGTTTTCCTATGCAGTCTTACAAAGTATGTACTTTGAATGGGTGATTTTCAGAGCTCAGACAGAGACAGATAAAAATGAGAACTGGTGGAGAAAAGGTTTGAATCTTCTTAAATTTCTTATTTTGATATACAAGATGTATATAATTATTGAAACTTCTGTTTTGTTTGCTGCATCAAAACTAAATATTTTTTTAAATGAAGCCAAAACTGTTATGGTTTTTCAATGACTGCCAGATAAAAATGTACTCATTCATAATTCATTTGTTTTATACTTCAGGATTTTTTTTTACTTCTGGGTCTGCGTCTTCATCTGTGTTGCCAGAAGGAAAACTAATGATCCTGTTTGAAACTATTCCCCTCTATAATGGTCTACAAAATAATCAAATTCCTGCTCACAAAAGCAGGCCACTGAGCTTCACTGTGCCAGACAGTCTTTCATAATATCTTATATAGTAATTCATATTCAGTTAATACAAATATGTCTCCTGAGACTGAAAGCAATATTGGAAAATAATGATCTTTCTTGAGAAATGGTAAAAAAAAAGAATTATGTTATTTATCAGAAGTGCTGAGGTTTATAGACTTTCTGACACCAAAACATAACAATATATTTTATTTAGAGAAATAAAACTCAAAAAACAGATGTCTTTTTTTAATGTTTTTGCCTGTTGCAACTTTTGAAATTAGTCAGTTTAATAAGAAAATATGGCTATTTCAGATCTATAACCTTCTGTGAGCGTTTTAATGTGTTAATTAAGGAAGAAGTCCAACAATGATTATGTGTCTGTTCCACTTTGAAAGTTTTATGAAAGTCACTTTACGTTGCTCTTCTCCTTCGTCTTTTTTCTCTCTCCAGGTCTCCATCTGTGCCCAGGTGGCTCGCGGCATGGAGCATCTGTCCAATAACCGCTTTGTTCACAAAGACCTTGCTGCCAGGAACTGTCTGATCAACAGTCAGAGGCGGATCAAAGTGTCTTCACTGAGCCTCAGCAAAGACGTCTACAACAGGTCTGTTACAAACACCGTTTTACAGCTGAGGCTTATAGTTGTTTCAGTGACTAAATAGAAAAGGAAGATCAACCAATTGAAAAGTGTCTCCATGTAATGTACAGTATATGTACCCAATTCTGGATCAAGGCCATTCCTTCAGATTCTGGAATCTTGATTTGCAAAAGAACATTTTTTTTTTTCTTAGCCCAAGTAACATTTTTGAAGTGACTTAACACAAGGAAATTCATCAGATGTGTCCCATCTTCTCCCTGAAATGTTTGACCTCAGCCTCAGTCCATGTCTCCTTAAAACTCTTCAGTTGACTTTGCTTCAAAAGCCTCTCAAAGCTGCTGTTGTCTATGCTGTGCGTTTACTGTTTTCTACCACGTTTTTCCTTCCTCTAAACCCTCCATTAATATTTGTAAATATGGCCTCCTTTTTAGGAAGGGCCTTTCATAGCTTACCATCCTTGTTTAGTGTGGCACTGTCTGCTGAAAAACTAAATTTACAAATAATTTATTTAACCCAAAGAGAAAATAAATGTTGTTGTAATTCAGCATACAAGAATCATCACAGATGATTGTGGATGGTCACGCTGCAGGTACAAAGGATCTCCAGCAGCAGTCAGTCTTGCAATGAATCTGAAGAGACCTCTGACTGAAGACTGTTGCTGTATCATAGTTTGACATCAGTAAGCTCTGCTAATCATCCTCATTTGCTTTTGCTGCTCCTTTTTAAATCTGTTTGGCTGTGTGATTTCAAAGCCGAGCAAAGAGACGTTGGAGTACCGGATACGATTCTTCCCCATTATGATCGATGGAAAACGTAGTTTGAACTTCTTTTGTATTATAAAAACTGTCTGAAAGTAAAAAAAAATAAAAAGTGACATAAAAAATCCTGCAGCTGCACAGCATCCAAAACCAAAAGGTATCAAAAATGAACAAAAACCTACAAAAATAACAAATCAAAACTAATGTAACAGGGCTCCAACATGCTCCCATGTCGGAGCAGAATCCACTGCATACCCAGTGGATTCTAGGTTTTCATTTGTTTTAAGTTGACAAAATAAACTCCTGAGCTAATCTCAGTGTTTGAATTGATTGTGTGTCTTATGTTTTATGTTTCTGTGTGCAGTGAGTATTACCACTACAGACAGGCGTGGATCCCTTTGCGCTGGCTGCCAACAGAGTCCGTATTCGAGGACGATTACTCCACCAAGTCTGATGTGTGGGCCTTTGGAGTGCTGATGTGGGAAGTTTTCAGTCTGGGAGAAATGCCGCACGACAAACTGAGCGACGACGAGGTTCTGGAAGGTAGGGCTGATTTCTTTCTTCAAGGTTTTTTTTTTGGGATAACTCGATGGAGAAATGTGGTTCTTTGTCTTTTGATTTTAACATAGAAACCTTGTGATGTTTTTGCTGCAGGTCTGAAGCTGGGAAAACTGAAGCTTCCCGCTCCGGATGGATGCCCCTCCAAAATTTACAAGCTCATGGTCCGCTGCTGGGCGCCCAGCCTCAAAGAGCGCCCCTCCTTCACCGACATCGTCAACGCCCTGGGAGATCAGCCCTCTGACAGCAAAGTCTGAAAGAACCATCCACAAATGAAGGAGGGAACCAGAACTTCTTGCCCTTTGTCCCTCTGAAGCACAAATGCTGGATTACCTGTCTCACTCATTTCAGGGAAGAGGTTTGAAGGGAGAACTTTTTTTTTTTTCTAATTTTTTTATTTCAGTTGAGGGTGGGAACTAGACTTTTGCTAAATCAGTGGAAGTGCGATGATGGAGAGTTCAGCCTTAGCTGCAGCATATGAGTCTCCCCACAGTCCGACTGCAGCAGCTCACGACCTCAGTGCCTCCACCCCACATCACACACTCAACCTGGCTGTCCACTGCCACCTTGTAGGGATGATAGGAACAACGCTTTGCTCTGATCAGTGGAGATTTTCCCTGAAACTTGGGGATCATCTGTGGAAGGAGATCTGGCTTCTTCAATTTAAAATATTTCATATTTTAATGGTTACAAACAAGCTAAAAAGGTCTGGAGTTGATTTCAGAAGAAAAGCGGGAAAATTTTAAATAAAAATTTCCTCTCCCATCGTCTAAATGCAACTTTCCTTTAGTCCTCTTTTTCTTCCCTTTCATGCTTACATGCATCCTTCCTTGAGTTCTACATCTATTCCTTCATTTTTGTTCAATCTGTTTTTTCTTATGTCCTTCCCTCTTTATTCGCGTCTATAAGTTTTGTGTGCCTTTCCTTTTCTCCCCTCCTTTGTTGCTCTTTTCCTTCCTTATCACTTTTCTCCACATTTCTTCCTTATGTCCCTCTTCATTTCTTGATTCCATCCTCCTTATTGTTCCTCTCTATCTTCCTTCCTTCATTCCTTCCTTCCTTGTACTTCCCACCTCCTCTCACTTTTTGTCCTTCCTTCCAGTTTTCAATTTCCCAGGTTATCAAATTAAATCTTGCCATACTGTATAGATACTGGCCATTGTTTCATGCTGAATATTTGTTTTCCATATTTCAAAAAAGAGCATAGAGGACTGAGGAAGGTTGAATCTGGAAATGTTTTTTTTTCTTCAATAAATTACGTGTAGGAACCTTGTCTTCAATATTTAATCTGCTCCTTTAACCTTTCAGTGGACAAGCGCTCACGCCGAACTTTTTTCACTCAGACATGCGTGGATTAAAGAAGAGGCCTCACCAGGCTTGCATGAAGGGTCACGGTCTGTTACGCTTCCAGTTTAAAACATCATCTGGCTTCATTTCAGGAACAAACTGAAACAAACATTTTTAGCCAAGAATTTATATCGAAAGGACGTGTATATGTTGTGGTGTCCACTACGAGGTGCTTTTGTCTCGCCGACGATGTCAACAGTTGCAGGGATTCAACCCATCACCATGTATTAATGTGCAGTGTAACATCCATAAAGGTCCAATCATATTTTCTATCTTTTTATTTTTCTCATTTTTTTTTTATTCAGTCGAACATCACACCATGCAAAGTGTACATAACGTAGGAGCCATGCACTAACTTCACTTGAGAGGACACCAAGTTTCTTTGTGTAGAAGGATGCACAGGTACCTGTTTATTTATGATGAAGGTCCTGTTTTCTTTTGTTTTTAACTGTTTATAATTGGTACTTTCATAACATTTTTATTCTACTTTTATGTTCAAATGGTCCATCTCAGTGTGCGTCCTAACAGAATATGCTAACAGTCAGTACACCAGAGGTCAAAAATGCTGACTGCAGGTCACCTGGACTCATTTAAGTGCCTAGAAAATGAAGGATTATCCTAACAGCCTCCCCTTTTTTTACATTATCTAATCAAATACAACGGCCTTTGTTTATGAGCTTGTTTTTATATGTTTTGTTTTTATGAATGCTAGGCACTCAAACCTAGACCTCTTGTTTGTTTTTTTACTCTGCTTGAGCAAATGTTCACAGTAATCAGATATATTCAAAAGTATACATGCTGCTGTCAATAAAGGTGCACAGTGTTTTTACTCAATGTGAGTTGTTTGTTTTAACTATTAGTTTGGAGAATTCAAACTATGAAAAATGACAAAACTTATTTTTAGCAGTATCCGGGGCAGAACATGAGTGTATCTGCAGACTTGTTCTCTGGTTTTCTTTTTAAACTGAAACACACTTTCTATTATTTTTGGAGCATGTAAACCATATACAGGAAGTAACTGTGTGGGAAGGCAAAGCAAAAACTTTGTTGACTTATTTCAGAAGTGCCCAATTCCAGTCCGTTATGTTCAGATGCACCTCTGCTCCAGGCTCATGAGCAAGCTTCTGCAGAGCTGGATGAGGGGATTCAGATGTGCAGAAGAAGAGATGCAGGATCACAAACAATCTGGGAAGAAGTGAACAGTTTATTACCATTAGTGTGTGTATGGTTGTTTATCCTGTCTGTTGCTTCGTGATGACCTAGCGATCTGTCCAGGGTGTTCCCCGACTCTTAGGCAATGACCGACATGACTCTGCATGGATAAGGGACTAACAATGTGATTGTTTCTCAGGTAATTGATAACTTCTTTCATCTTGTGTATTTCCTTCATTGATGTTTTATAATTGCTAACTTTGAGCATTCTAAAAAAAGTAGCAGCCTCCACACCGAAGAGAGTTGTCAGGGTGTTGCATGTTGTTTCTTAAATGGACAAAGATTGGATTTTTCAGTCCTGAGATCTATCGTGGCTCAGGACTAGTCGAGCTAAAACTTTGGGGATTTTAGTACAGAAGTAAAGCTTAATTTTTATAGCACAATACAACAGACCAGATCAGTCCACTGATCTTTTAAATAGTTTAATAATAGTTTAGTAGTTTGAGATTACTGTTGATCATTTTCTCAATTATTGATGACTGACTTCATGCTAAATGTGTGAGACAGGTGTAAATGGTCATGCTCATAGTTTCGAGTAGATAATCATTAAGGTTTGTTTATGAATCAGGTTCCATCTCTTCTCAAACTACAGTCAATCTGTTTTCTTTGAGTTGTCGTCGCAATAAGTGAATATATACCCAGCTCTCTTGAGAAAGAAAGTCTGTCAGAAACATAATAAAGCATCTGTTCAAACCTGCCTGGTGGGAGGAGAATCAATACCTCAACCACTGAAGTGCCTCTTGGCCAATTTTTCTCGAACATTTTTTTTTTCTTTTTTCCTTTGAGGACATTTTTTTAAAGTGTCTGTTCATAAAGTCATGACTAATTGCAATGCACTTAGTTAACGCTTCTTGTTTTAGTTGTCATGGCAACCGGGATTCTTGCATTTAGTGGTTACAAGGACGAAAACTAAAGAGGCAGATACTGAGACTTAAATATTTGACGAACACAGAGTTTTGGCGACTGTCGGTCATATCTGAAAAAAAAGTAATTTAGTCTAATCTTTACATCTGGGAGTGACTATAAGATGTTGATTGTGACTGATTATGGTTTCTCATATAAAGAATATCTTTTGAGCTATCTGATTGCCTTAAGGGAATTTTGTGGTGGATATTTTTTTACTCTAAAAAAAATTTATTTCATAAGGGACAGTGCATATTAATCAACACGAGTACATTAAAACAAACATGTAAAGTGGTAAAGGAGATCCACCATCTGCAGCGGCTGCAGTCCTCATTGCAGCTGGATCTGGTTTCAATTCCAGATTCTGGGCATTTTTCTGTAATGTCCACAAAGCAAGAAATCATTTAAATGCATTTTGCAGCAAGGTGATAAGATTGTACTACAATGGTGCTGTATCAACAACTTTATGCACAGGCAAAGATTTTCTTCTGTCTTTTGCTATTTGAATTGCAAATAAGATTATAAGATGCAAAGAAATGCATCATCTGTCAGTTGAGTTTAGATATTTTTTATAACTTTGGAAAGGTCAAAATTATAGCTTAGTTTATGTCAGAGTGTTACGCCTTGCATTTCAGTTGATTTGCAGAGTGTACAAGATCATGTTCTTTGTTGTTTTTTTTACCTCTTAAAGGTCAGTGTAAAGTGACTTAACTAATCAAAACTATATCTGAGCATGGCATAAGGAGTGTTCTTCTCCTGACTACCTTCAGCAATCAGATTTGGTTTTCCTGGAATCAAAATTTTAAAAAATCAAGGAGTGGCTCTAGACTTACACAGCATCAATTTCAGTCTGACGTGAGAAAATATTCAGGACCTCAAGGCCACCAGCAGGGGGCGTCAGAGAGCAACTGAATTCCAATCATCCATTGTTTATACCCGCCGTTGGTACTGAGTGAGAGCCAGGGTCCATCCTGGTCAGGTTGCCAGGCCATCACAGGGCAACATGGAGATACACAGGAAAAACAAGTCATGCAGTCATAATTTAGAACCAGTTAACCTAACAGCCATCTTTCTGGACTGTGGGAGGAAGCTGCAATACCCAGAAAGATCCTATATGTGCACTGGGAGAATATGTAAACTCCATGTTGCTGGACTGGGTTCAAATCCCCACAGTGCTTACAATTGGTCACTCTGCAACCGTGTAATTATTTAAAAAATCATAATAATAAAAAAAACAAAAACAAAACACAACTTGAAGGTTAGTTCTTTTTTTTCTGCTTGGGTCACAGTTTATGTAATTTCTGACTATATAAATTAAACTGCCTGATCACTGTTGAAAAGCTGTTTATATCATCCGAAGTACGACTATTTTATTAAATATTTGCATTACTGATCAGGTTGTCAAGCAGAACATTTGGTTGTAGTCACAGAAGCATCAGAATTATTTACTTCACAATCCTCTCAAGACTGTAGTTATCACCACACCTTAATGAAAAAACTTCATCCTTCCACTAAACTCCACTATTAAAAATAACTGGCAACAGCTCTGCTTGAAGAGCCATCTTCTTTGAGAACTTTTTAGTAATAGTGCTGTGGTCTCAGCTAAAGCCAAGTTTTTGCATGAAAACATTTCTAGTTAAGATGTTTTCTTTGTAACACCAACTCGAAATATAAAGTTGTTTTTCATTATTATTTACTCTATTATTTGCATTATTTTGGTGTCCCTGTCTGTCCACGGTGACGTTGACATGAGCTCAACCATGTTGGTATTTATTCTAATGAGTGTTCCTCATCGACCAATCACAGCGTTATTCAGATAATCCTCAGCCAATCGACGGGGGACGCTGTGACTCACCAAATAAGGAGAGACAGCACCAAATAAGGAAACGTATCTCTTTATAAGGAGGGAAGTAGTCCCCGGTTCTGGTATCACTCCGCTCTTAAATGCTGTATTTCGAAGCTAGGTGGTTGTTTTCGCTTCCGTATCAGGGATACATGGAGATTTTAATCAAGTACAAGTGAACGGTGATATGTGTGCACGAATCGATGGGTCTGAATCGTTTCTTTTTTAAACGTAGAGCGGACTATCTGTCCCGGTGGAATCGTTCGTGAGGCGTTCTTCGCGCTTTCCTTTTTGAGAAAGTGCTCGGAGTTTTGGAAATAGAGGAGGAGGGTGAGCCTAACCGAGCCGGGCTTTACGGGTCTTGGGGGCAGCATCAGTTTGTAAAGTTTGTATCGGTTATTTCCTGGACTCCGCAATCTGTCATCTGGCCCGGTTTGTTTACATTTACTGGCCCGGACGTGTATGCGCTTTAACAGCCCCTCACGGTTCGACACGCTCCAGCTCCTCTGGCTGGCGTTCAGAGACTCGCTCCTGTGAATATAATGTTACCGAGCCAGGTCGGATCGGCACCATCTGGAAACGGGTCGGCATCGGGCAGGACTGCGACGGCACACGGGCCGGGGATTCGTCCCGTTTTGGTCCGAACGGGTCAAGCCTTACCGGGGGTCGGTGAGAGCGGCGGAGCTGCGGGGCGACAGGGGGAGAGAGAGGCTGCCGGGATGCTGGGGGCAAACGGGCCAGGCGGTTCTAGAGGGGCGAGACCGGGGAACGGGGCCGGGTTGAACCCCCTGCAGACTGCCGTCCAAGGAGGCATTGTGGGGTTAAACCCCGGGGTGGTGATGCCCCATGGAGCCCGCTTCGACCCGGACCGGGATAGTGCTCCTCTGTGCAGCGGCTCGGATAACGATTCGGACTCTGGAGACGAGGATGACCCGGTGGGTTCACTCGGGGATAGCAGGAGAGGGGTGAAGCGGGAGAGGGGGGAGATGGAAGGGGCGGCGGCGGGACAGGAGCTGGGAGTACCCCCCGGAGGGTACGGCATGGTGACCGGAGGAGTTGCCGGCGCAAAGCCGGGGAAGAAGACACGTGGGCGGGTAAAAATAAAGATGGAATTTATCGATAACAAGTTGAGACGCTATACCACGTTCAGCAAGAGGAAGACGGGCATTATGAAAAAGGTGAGGCGTAAAAACTGTTTTTATATTTATTGTCCCAGCCTACCTCTGCAGTGCTTTGCCAATTTGTCCACACATTGGCATGATGCTTTCACACCATGTGTTCAGGGTGATGTGCAGTGTCGTTTTTTCTGCATGTGGGCTAGAAAGTTCAACTTGGGTCACAACTTTCTTCTACAGCTTCTGCACTGATAGATTCCCCCACCTGAACTGTGGAACTTTGCAACTCCTCCAGAGTTACTGCTGGCCTTTTGGCTGCTTCTCTGAAGATTGGTTAATTTAGATGGATGGCCATATCTTGGAAGGTTTGTGGTTTTGCCTCACTCTTCCCCATTTCTGAGGATGGATTGAACAGTGTTTGTGATTTTTCTAACATTTTGAGTATAGTTATGTGACCCAAATCTGTTTGAAATGTCTCAACATTATCTCTGACTTTATTTTAGGGGTATCAGAGTAAATTGAATATAAATGAAGGCCGGACTTCAGAGAATTTTAACGGCAAAACATTTGGAGAAACATGTTTCTTCCACCTCACATTTATTCATAGCTTTGTGTTGGGTTACTGCAGAAAATCCCAATGAAACACAATTAAGGTTGTAGTTGTAATATAACAAAGTAAAAAATCAGATAAAGAAGGAACAATTAAAGTTATAATAGACAGTAAATTCAATTGTTTATTCACAGGAGCAGATTAGTCCATTTCTTGTGACAAAACAATTGTACGACAATGTGACTCAGTGGTTGCAAGGAAGTCAGAGCAAAGGGCTGTAAATAGATTTGAGCCAATGACAGTTCTATTTGTGACCATGCTTCACTCCCCAACTAACACACACGCAGACTCTCAGATTTCCAAATATCCTGACACACTCATTCATACACAAGTTCCCAGACAGCACCCCTTTACAGGCTCATTAAGAAGGCCTGCGTCTTCTGCAAAGAAGCTCCTTTCAGCTTCATCGGTGCACAGACTGTTGCCTCCACCACCGCAAAGCAGGGCCATGTGGCAGTGAGCAGCCGTAGACTCCATGTGCCAACAGCTGAATGAACCCGAGGGGAAACAGATCAGAGGATGGTCAGAGAGTGCTCACAGTGGGGTCTGTGCATGCAGCATGACTCTACTGCAGGCTTCTCGTCTGTCTGTTTTTTGCTTTCGGTTTTGTTAGCTCAGAGTAGCAGGTGACACCGAAGATCTGAGGATGACAATTTCCTCTTCATCCTAATCTTCAAAGCCTGTGTTGATGCCTATCAAGCAGTAGTTTTTGGAGAGCTTTGCAAAGCAGCCACCTATTAGCTAGAGATTTGGATATGATTTTTACTGGCCAATACCAATATTTGTGAATTTTTTTTAGTTTTGCTTTTTGTTTTGTTTTGATTTTTTTTCTTTTTCCGACACAAACCAAAGAAAAAAGTGTTCTTCTGTTAGAAACAGACAGTACTTCTGAGCCCTGCCAAAAATGAAAGCAATAAAAGAAATGATCCCCATTTATTGCATTAAACAAAAGAACTTAGAGTACTAAAATGGTTGCTTTTTTTATAAACCAAAATCTGGGAGTTATTTGGTTAAGATGCAGCTCATGACTGAAAGGAGAAATTCAGAGTTTTCAGTGTTTGACCCACCGATCTGAGCAGATTGAGGGAAAATGGTCAGATTTTGATCTCTAGATAATCATTTGACATGACTCTAAAAAAACACATTTGCAGATTTTGTAAAAAAAAAAAATGCATCCAAGATATTCAAAGAAAAGAGCAATTTGGAGAGCTGAAATACCTGAGTGCAATTGGGTGTTGTTTCCAAAGCAGCCAATCCAAGAACTTAATTTATTTTTCTTGGTGCTGATTGGCTGTGTCAGAGGACTGTGGACCTTGCATTTCAAGGTATTTTAGGTATTTGAATGATTTAAATATGCAGTTTTAAGCATTTTTCGTGAAGGGAGTCTTGAATATTCCTGAATTTCAGTTAATCTGGAGGTCAAGAGGGGAAACGGATCAGAGTATGGTCAGAGTTATTTGGCTACAACTCAGATTTGGCCCAAGTTATAAGCAATCTAAGCAGCTGCTTAGTGCTTCATATCCAGCAGGAGGCACCCAAGAGCATTAGAAACGTCACATGAGTTAGATTTACTATACAAAATTTCTTTTATTTAAAGTTCAAATTAGTTGTAATCATTCAAAATAAGACTTTTTAAAATGACCTAAAAAAAAATCAATTTTCTATTATGAGAATATTTTTTCTTGTTAAAATATTTACGGTAGATGTTGAATGGATATATGTTTTGCATGTGGTATTTCCACATTGTACTTTTCTCTATTCTACAGAAGTGAGAATAAACTATTGTAAAGATGTCTGTGTATTGTATTCATTGAAGATGGATAATAAAAAGGGGGTAACCGTTGGTGTGAGGGGACTGAAGCAGCATTTCAAGTTTTGTTTAGGGGCCCATAACTCCATTTAAAGTTCATTATTGTGGAACTATGTCTGTAGTTATTTCACTATAAAAGGAGTGATGAACACCTTTATTGAAGGCTAAAATAAACACTTAGCTAAATGTTTTGAGGCGCATGCACGGCTCACTCTCTGCTGAATTTCTTTTGGGTTTTCATGTTTTTTTTTTGTTTTTTTTCCCAGACTGTTGTCGTGGAAACTGAAGTGTCTTTATGTAGGCTCTTGGCAACATGAACACTATTTGACACAACGTGGGGAGGGATTTTTATTTTATTTTTTTAAGTGGTTGCCCACACTAATGCCAGCCATGACAGAAATTGACAGGTGGGTGGAGTGGGTAGATTTATAGTAGTTTGGTCTCTAACAAGGAGGAGCTTTGTTTTCGTTTTTGAAGGATGCAGAAAGCAGAAATCGACCCCCGTCTTCCTTTACATGCCTTAGCTTTTATGCATGGAAATGCTCTGCTTGGTAACTGTACTCAGAAGTTTAGTTTTACACTGTTGTATTTTGTGTTTTCAGAAAATCATTGCTAGCAGGGATTCAGCCAGTTTTACTTGGATATTTCTCTGTAAAATTAAGAGTAACATACAGCCTTCAAAAGTCACATAAGCTAGTAAATAAAGTATTCCTGTTTGTGGTTTAATGTAGCTGTTTATCAATAATGGTCTGCAAATTTTTCTGTGGGCACAAATCCACAAATGCTCTGTTTCTCTGCATGTACTGTCCTTGTTTACATACATTTGAAATATTATTAATATAATCTCAGTACAAATCTGTCTGTTCTATGTAGGTCTAGGAGGTTTTGTCAGAGGACCTAATGTGCATCATAAAAACCAAGCAAGACAGAAGACGGTAGAGAGAAAGTTGTTGAAGTTTCTACAGGTTGTTTAGTGAACACGTGACGCGTGTGGAAAGAAGCCATTCTGTTCAGAGGAAGCAAAAATGAAACGCCCTCTTCTTCATGGTGCAACATAGCGGTGGCAGTTTCATGCAGTGGGGTTTTTCCTCCTCTTCAGAAGGGTCAGGAACGTTTCCCAGAGTTGATGGAGTGATGTATTGAGCTAAATCATGAAAAATGTTAAATAAAAACCAATAAGAGGCTTAAAAATTAAGTGACAGAACAACCACTGTGAGCACACAGCCAGAGCTGCAAAGGAATGGTTTTTTAAAGTTGGGCCGCTCATGGTGCCAGTATGTTGGAGTAGATCTGTTAGTTTAGTTCTCATGTATTGACTTTTGTTCCTTTTCCTTTTTTTTTCCTTTTTGGTTGAGGCATGTTTGGACAATTATTCTCTCTGGTTTTGGATGCTGTGCAGCTGGAAGGATTTTTGCTTTTTTAACTTTTGGACAGTTGTTATGATAAGTTACCATGGGAGCAGAGTCAAAATCAAATTGGGTGGATTACCAGAGTTTGCCAACTGATGGCATCATCCAGGTCATGTTAAATCATCTGCTTCCTGGAAATTGAGCTATTAGCATGCCATGAGAGTCGCAAGGCTGTAATACAGCAACATGCTTCAGTCAGAGGCTACTTAAGATTTGTTGCAAGACTGACTGCTACTGGACATTCTTCCTGCCTGTAAAATCAATTTAGAGATACTTGGGTCTTTAAATTATAAGTTCTCTGAAGGGTAAATAAAGTATCTTTGAATTCAATTCAATTTAGATGAAAGCATATTTGTTTGCTCAAATGGTCTTGTCAAAGTCTAGACCTTACTGCAGTTGAGAAACTGTGACAAAACCTTATGAGTTATAAGTTGATTTTGAAAGTTGCCTCAGTCCAATCAAAGCTAATTTGCAGCAAAGAGTGGCCACTATGTAAGAGTTTAAAAATGATCCCAGCTGCTCAGAGTGAAGGTTGCTTTGTCTGTAGGTCTTTTAAAAAATGACAAGTGATGCAGGAACTTTTTAGGAAACAATCTGCAGGAATAATTCGTTCTCTTTTCTGAAGATTTCAACCGGCAGGATGAGTAATTTTCTCCAGTCTCATTTTGTTCAGTTGGAGAACATGCATCGTCTTTAGGGTTCCTTTGTTTGTTTTAAGGAGCTATGAAGACAAATTACCGGCACTAATGGATGTTTTTGTTACTTGATTACCTTGCTGTTCCTGGAAGCATAGCTGTACAAAACTGTGTAATGAACAAATAATGACCAAATCCTGTCAGCTCAGTCAGAGAAGCCAAAACGTTAATTGTTTTCATTAAATTAGGGGTTTATTATAAAATATTTTATTAATGGGTTTTGTTAAAACTTTGTCCATAAGCCCTGTTTTGTACTGGACTGTAATATGATGGTCCTTTCTCATTGTCTGTTTAGGACTTAGACATAATGCTTTTAGTTCTCGGCTTTGACTGTGATCTGTTTTTCGTCATATTTCCTGATAAGCCAGGAAATTACGTGATGCAAATTGCCTTGTTTATTATTAATGTCTGGTGTTGCTGCTAGAATAAATTAACATTTTCTCTTCTGCTTTTCCTGAATCTGTTAAGAGATTCATAGCTGCTGTTAACTTGTGAGAGTTAACCATTATCCAAATGTTCTTTTGTCTTTCTATCTAAATGTCCTTCAGTCTACATATTCCAGATGTCTTTCCGCTTACCTGTCTCGGGGTCCTTTTGTCTCCCTGTCCAACCGTTTTTTTCATCAACCCATTGGTTTGTCTAACCCCTCATTTGTTCATTCATCTATCTGTCAGTCTGTCCAACTTTCCTACAATGTACCTATTGATTTGTCCTACTGTCTTTCAGCTCTTTTGTCCATCCACTGGTTTGTCTGCTTGTCCATTTGTCCATCCTTCCATTTACCTATCAGTTTGCCCATTCATTTATCTAACCATGTCTCCGTCCAGCCGACAACTCAACTACTTACCAACCTCCTGTCAGGTTTTTTTGTCTGTCCATCAAACAGTTTGTGTAAGCATGTATTCATTAGTTTGTCTGAACAAACTGTTGGATCAACATGAATTGACTTGCTCAACTGGCACCTGACTGCTCATCAGTTTGTGTTCATCTGCATGTGGATTTGTTTGTCCATCTGTCCAGTTTGTCTGTCCATCCAGGTGTTTGTCTGACCACACACCTTTTGAGTTTGTCCAACTTCCCTTTAGGCTTTCTAATAAACAGCAAGTTCTTTTCTTCAACCACAGTGATAGTCTCCATTCACTTTAATAGTTTGTTAAAAGGGACTGAGGTACTCTTGCTCTGGAAGTGTCATGCTTTTTTTGAAACCTTTATGAACTCTGACACTCATACTGCCATTTTTGGTTTTGAATGTTGGTTTAACTCACAACTTCTAAAGGCAGACGGTAGAGAACAGCAAGAGGAGCTGTGCGGTTTTATTTGAGTAAGGCAGAACCTCTGTCCGACGCGATGTATAAGGAAGCCGAGCGTGAAAGAGATGAGATGTGGTTTATTACAGCTCAATAAAACGCATTCATTTGAATGTGATTCATCTCTTCGCTCTGTCCGACAGCGGACTGCTCTCCAGCGTACAATGGCGCGTGTGTCGTGTTTTTCTGACTGTGGTTTGCATGCCAAGGTGGTGGTAATGACACCATTCCTTGACAGCCTCAGTACCATCTGGCATGTACCTGATTATTCTTTTAGATTAAAAGATGTTTTCACTCTTGAGTCCAGCTTTAGGAGTCTGGAGTAACATTTCAATGCTCCTCGTCTGTAGAACCAGAGTGTGAACATGATGCAGATAAGGCAGCAGAATCTACCTCTGTTTAAAGGTTCCTCAGTCATCTGGAGTGTTAATATCCCCCCCGCTATTGCAAACAAGTCCTTTGCTGTCTCGCATCTATATCACACTCTCTATTCTGGGAGTCTTATCTTCAGCTTCGTGGAATACGTCACAGTTCACTACAGAGTATTTATAAATAGTACTGGGCTTTTTATTTCTGTTTTTCCACTAGTTCATATTTTTTATATTCCCTTCACTGCTGAGAATAATTAATCAAAAAGAAGTCCAAATTTGGTGAGCTATATATATATTTTATGTCTTACTGTTCCTGATTTATCTCTCCCCAGGCCTATGAACTGTCAACGCTGACGGGAACCCAGGTTCTGCTCCTGGTTGCCAGCGAAACGGGTCATGTCTATACTTTCGCCACCCGGAAACTTCAGCCTATGATCACAAGCGAAACGGGCAAAGCCCTGATCCAGACTTGCCTTAACTCGCCAGACTCTCCGCCGCGCTCCGACCCCTCCATGGACCAGCGCATGAGCGCCACGGGCTTCGAGGAGACGGACCTCACCTACCAGGTGTCGGAGTCAGAGAGCATGGGCGACACCAAGGTAAAACTCATAACTCGAATGCCTCTGATTCAGTGCATGTCTCTCTGTCTGCTCTCTCTTTGAGAGATTCATTAAACAGTTAAAGCATTGCAGAGAGTGACTGATGAACATTGTAAGAAACGTCTCTAAGACATGCAGGCATGCAAAGGGACATAAATCAAGTTGACTACCAGCTGTGGTGGATAAAAGTTAAAATGTAAAATGTTTTAAGCCTTCTTCTGCTTCATGAAAGGTTTTTGCTTTGGCTTTCCATAAGTATTCATCTTTAAACTTTTTCCTTCATTTTGTCACAATAAATGCATAAACGTAAAAAACAAAATTAGTTATTTTGCAAATAAAAATACTACAGTAGCTTCTTTACAAGTATGTCTGCAAGCTGTCGTTCAAAAGTAGGCTTGTCACAATAAAATGGACTTGCTTATACATCTTTCCTTACTTATTGCACATTGTTACCCAATCTAGAATTTTTGTACAGGTATTAATCGGTGCATCTCTAACTTTAACTCTTCCCTTGCTCCATTTCTTTGTTGGTTTGCAGTTTTGCCATATTCTTCCCGTTCTCAGATGCTACATTTATTCTTTATGAGATGTTTAAAGCTTAGAATATCAATTTGAAATCTAACCTTGCTCTGACCTGCCTTCTGTGTTTCTTCATCTTCATGACTCTGTTTGCTCACTGATGTTCACTAACCAACCTCAGAGGCCTTGGCAGAACAGTTGCATTTATGCTGATATTACATTACATAAGCAAAAGCCTTCAACCAACCTCTTCCCTGTAACTCACTGCATCTCGTATAACCCTAATGAATAAAATTTGTTGTTGTGAGACGTTCAAAACCTCCACTTTCACCACCAAACCATTTTTATGAAGCTGAGTAAAAAGTATGTGTGGTTCCTTATAGGGTTGCAGACTGAAGATGAAGTCAGATGTGGAGATTTAAAGAATTAACCATCGTATGTGAAGGGAATAGGCTTTAACTCATTGCATGACCTCTCCTCACCCAGAAAAAACACTCCTTAAAGATAAATCCCAGCAGGTCTGGGCTGTGTTAGGATAAGACACAACTACTCAGCTCTACAGTCTGTGGAAAGATCTGTGTTTCTTCTTTTCATAACATTTCAACCCTTTAAACTCAATCTGAGCATATCAACATCTTATAACTTCACCCCGTCTTGCTAATTAAAAAAAAATTATTTACATTTTAGACAAGTCAAAACAGAAAACTCAACATATTTTATTTGGTGAATGCAGATGCATGAAAACACTTTCACATTTCCAATTTGATGTTTTCTGCTGCAACAAATTCTGTTAACTTTAATACCTTTTCATAATAAATATTAACAAGTTTTCCATTTGAATGTATGGAAAGTAAAAAATGTATCTTCAAAAGTCTTGATTAGCAGTAATAAATTTATCCGCCACTTGCTTTTTTTTTTTTTCTTCTTTCCTGATTGCACCTTTTGTGCAATCGCATGCTGGAAGTCCATATTCCCTTCACTGCTTGCACAGCTTAAGTGTGCACCTTTTTGAAGACGGACGCATGCAGGCCCCCTTTGCCCACTCGCTGTTTTCGTAGGGCGCCAGCTAATGCGTACCAGACTCCCGTCAGGGATGGGAGCTCAACCTTTGCATGTTAATCCACTCTCATGCCCGCTCCGCTCATTGATAAAAATTAGATTCTGCCTCTGTTGCCATATATGGTATGGTTTCCCTGCCTGCACTCTTGGCTGAGGCCCCTCGCATTCCTTATAAGCTGCAGCTGTCTTTGGAGTCCTGTGATTTTGACCCTCCGCTGCACTCCACCCTCTCCACCCCCACCTCTAAGTCCCCCTCACGTTTGCCGATTACGGTAGGGAGGTTCGGATGCAGATAGGAGCAAGTGGGCTAAAGACGCTTCACCAGTGCCGGCCGTCCATTTAGGCGGCCGGCAGGGGATGCTGCCGCCGGTGGGCCATCCCACCTAAGCAGCCATGCCAGCGGGAGAGCATTATGACTCCTGTGAACTGTCACAGGAGATTTATTTGTGGTTCGGGGCTGTTATAGCTGAGACCGGGCAGGTGGACACCATTTTTTTGAGGGATGGTTTCAGTGCAGTGGGTCTGCCGTGTGGTTGCTGCCGTGTGAGCGTCTGGACTCTGTCCATCATGAGAGCGGCGTGTCATGCATACAGACTAAGCTAGTCTAAACAGTCCAGTTTGTAGAGGCTGATGGGGGAAGTGGAGAACCTTTGGAAGGGGGAGGAGGAAAAAAAAGCAGGTTTATGAGATAAGTAGACATGATTTAGTGTTGGGATGAGGAAAACGATGTTCCTCGTGGTGTTTCTTGTGAGAAGTTTAGGAAGGTTTTTAAGAAGGAAGCCAGCTGTAAGGTAGCAGACATCCATCCCCCAACTGCCAGTCAGCTGGCTGAAAAAGCACCCATCAGTTTTCTTTGCAGACAACAAATTAGGGTTGCAAGTAAAGATTATTTATGGATTAATGTATTGATTATTCTGATGATTAATCTCAAACAAAACTGGCACGTTTGTAGATTTTCCATTTTCCCCGTTTTTGTACAATACTGGAAATACATTTTGTTGCAAATAAATTTACTTTTTTGTAAAAAAAAATAAGTATTTTTTTTGCCCAAAATACATTTCTTTAATTGATGCTTGATCATTTACAGCAAATAATATTTCTAACAATACAGGAACTGCTTTTATTTCCATCTTTCCAGCCACTTGGGCCAGCATCTCTGGGGGAATCCTAAGGCGTTCCCAGGAACATAGTTTCATTTTTATTCTTACATTTTTGTGCAAATGCTATTTCTACTTAAGGTTATGCTACGTTGAAGTCCTCATTCTGGCCCATGGTTACAGGAGAATATGTTAACACATCTTTATCTGTTCAGTGTCTGGTTTTCCAGCAGTTTGTATTTCAGACTGGAAATAAAGTAAACCAGCTCTTCTAACAAGATGCTTATTACATCTTGTACCGATTCTAGTAGGTGATTTTATCTTTATAGAAAACAGAATTGGACATTTCCCTCTTGTTTTTCTGAACAATAAAAAACAAAAAGGTATATTTCCCAGCTGTTCCCTTTTAATACTGACTCGTACAGCAGTGTTGTTGGTTATTAGTTTTCAGCTTCTTTTTTGTCAACTTACAGAATATGACGTTTGTGATCATAGAAAGTCATGGTGGAAGTTACTCTGGGATAAAAAAAGACAAGTTTCAAGTTGATCTTCTTTGTCTACATCCATACTGCTAACTGATCAGATTAAGTTTTCCTTTTAATTGGGTCTGACCGGTGTTCTGGGGTTGGAAATGGTGAGAAATGGGTCTCCCCTTGTTCATAAAATGTGCAAAAACTGAAAACAACTTCCACTTTCTTAAGAATGCTAAACAATTGTAATAGTAAATTGACAGTTTATATCTCCTAAGCATTTCAGAATAACTGAGTAACATCTACTCTGTAAATATTATAGAAGTCGTACAAAACACTTAATTCTTTTTAGGTCAAAGGAAATTTAATCAAAGTGAATGAGAAATATCTCCCAGGTTGCCATGATGTAATGTTTTTTTTTTTTTTTTACCCAAAACATCCATGGAAAAGCGGTCCAAAAGTCAGAAGGTTCACCAGAAGTAATGGACCATACCCCTTCCAGAAAGTTTCATATTTATCTAACGAGTCCAAACAATATTTTCCTAAAAGTCTTCAGAAATTGTTTTTATTGGTTATTCTGAGACAGAGTCCCAAAGCCTTGGACATGACTTCATAACCCTTTCCAGATTAATTGCTCTTTTTAGCCAACTTTATGTTGTAGGACTGGTCCCATTTGATACATTTCTTAATTGTTGTAGTAATTTGGCTGGGCTTTTATTATGTGAAGCGATTTTTATCTGATACTAAAATTTGTATATTTGATCACAGTCCTCACTGATTTCCTGGATGTCACTGTCGTCATTTTTTCATGTGCTGAGTATCGGATGTGTATCTTGTCAGGTTGATGAATGTTTGCCGCCCCAGAGGTTCACACCTGTTGTGAGCTTCTTGGCCATTACAAATTCACAAGTACTTGAAAAGAAACAATAGAGATTAGTTTCAATATCCTTCAGAAATATCACACGTGCATATTTTCCTGCCCACTAAAAACCCAGTATGTTTACGCCGCTGCGTTCCTCCAGATTTTTTTGTTTTATTTAGGTCAGATCTCTAATTTAGGATATGGCTTGAATGCTGGATCTTTAAAACCTTTTTTGCTCTTTAGGTTAGTCATGGACATAAATAACAAGTATCATAACTCATACATGCTGGAAAGCAGTGGATTCTCAGTATGTTCTGGTTTTTCCTTCTTTCTCCTCTTCTCCCATGGTTCCCTACTTCTCGGTCTGTCAGTGTCATTGCTGTTAAAATCCTCCCTGAGTCCAGTTGTAATGCTCATTAGTGCCGCTTGAATAGCCAAACCAACCAGGAAACGTCCTGAGTAAACTGCTGCCATTCTGTGTGCAGCTTGGTATTAAAGAGCCTCTGTAAATCACCTGACAAGTCCACTATTCAGTATATTGTACACTTATGCATACGCAGTGTGTTGCATGTGTTGGTAGGGGAGGAAAGCAACATGATGTCACCAGGCCCCAGGCCCCCACTTCCACCCCCTTATTTTACAGCAAGCAACTGGACAGGTCAGCCGCCATTGGCTGCACCTCCTCCACTTGGGCTGCCTTGCCTTTTTTAGCAGTCCCAAATGGAGCTGCAAATTCCATGTTGCTGGCAGAGTGACAAACTGGGAGATGGGAGCCAGCAAATGGGAGATTAGAAGAGGGCCAGTCACCAGTGAACTGCACAATGGTCTCTCACACCGACACTGGACCAGCCTGCCAGTTGTCACCTTCAGTTTGGAGTGAATAAAATCTCTTGTGAAAAGGGAATTATTTGTCCTTCTTACTCTAATTGCTCAAATTTATTCTCCTTCTGAAACATGTTTTATCTGGAAGGCCAGAGGCTTTTTTTTAATTAT